CTACTGAGAAAACTGAAAAATACTGTTAACCGCCCATCTGGTGAGAATGAAATACCATATTCTTTTCTTAAAGTCATACTAAATGTGTTTATGATCCAATATTTGCATCTGTTGCTCATCTTAAGTGTTGAGCAATCACTTTTTGTTCTTAAGGAGATGTAGACAGTCTAAACTCAGTTTTGTCTGTATGATTTAACCATATAAACATTGCTTAAATATCAGGATAAATAAATCATGGCACAAAACAATTGGTCATATGATGAACTGTTTGCAAAAAATGCAACATTTGGAGGAAATATACTATATTATACTATATTATTATACTATAAGTGATCTTTTGGTACAATATGAAAAAGGCAAAACCATTTACAAAAAAGAATGACTGGCTGTATGTCTTTTATAACCCAGCTTCTCCATCACAGGCCAACATGTGTCCTCGATGAGTTTAATCTCATCTATGGCCATATTTGTCTTCCACATATTGATTTTGGCAGGTGATATATCTCCTTCATATATCAGATTATACAAATTTGTGGACGTGGCAAATGTCAGCTGGTTTAATGCAGCTGGTGCAACAGGTATTCCAATAAAGTTATGTATCGTTCTCGCCGTCTTTTCAGGAAAACATACAATGTCCTCGAATTTGACTATAAAGTAAGTGTGTGTGGGGAGGTTTGCGCTCACCTTGAGCCCTGCTGAATTGTGAGCCAGCCATAGCTGAGCTAGCAGCTGTACGGGGTTGGGATGTGCCTGGGAGAGGATCTTCTTTAAAGGAAGAAACTGTGAGTCCACTGTAGAACAGCCCTGATCCACACCATCAATGTTCTGCTTAAAAATGTTGGTGATATGTCTTTTAATATTCTTGCGTATGAACAGGCTTGGCTTACTGCTGTAGAGCATTAGATAAATCCATGCACGTGGGTCTCGGACCACATGAACTGAGCGAATTGAGCGACCTATGACCTCTTGAAGATACGGCAGCTTCAAGGACCAGCCACCACTGCCCATGCTCAGCACCGGCCGGGCATTTGGATACTTTTCCAGGTGCTGCCTGAGATCTTGTATGTACCCGATGTCCAAACGCTTTCTACTTTCTGTCATTGTTTGCTCTGACAGCAGCATTCTTCTCTTTCTTTGTCCTTTCTTTCTGACATTATTTCCTGTTTCGTCATTGCTCTGGTGCAACTGAATGTTCTGCAGGTGCATTTTCACATTGTGGACTATGGAGTGGAACCATCCCTGAATAACTCGAAATCGTCCATTTTGAGCATCTGCTCCAGACCACTCGCAAGCGTCCACCAGAGAGACAAAAGGAGACACAGGAAACCGCAGGTAAGTGGAAGGGATCCGGAGGTATACAAAGTCAGAGCTGTTATCAAAAAGGAGTTGGAGGATCTCCGCGCCAGAGCCCGGCATAGATGTGATGGTGATGACGGGGAGGTGGTCAGGGACACTAGAGTCTGTTCCATCATATATGCTGCTCTCTTTTGATTTGACTTTGCATGAGAGCTGTTCGCAGACGTAAAAAACAGACAAAAGTTCAGTCACCCACAAAAACAGCACACATATCAGAGTGCAATGAGTTAGCATTTTGAACGACACATGAAATTTCTTCTTTTTTATTATGAAAGCCAAAGCAAAAAATAAAATCAGTATCGCAGAGATGTTTACTGCCAATCCAAAGTCAAACACAAAATCTTTTGTGACTTGACTTGGCAAAGTTTGAGTTCCCTGGCCAAACTGAACTATTTTTTGATTGTCTTCTGTTTTAGCAAAGCCCGCAAAGCCCAAGTAACTCTGTCTAGCCTCAATGTCTTTGTAGTTTGTTACAACTGATACAACAGTCTCAGTGTCATTAAGAGTTACTGATATCTTTACTCCATTTTTACTCTTGTCTATGAATCTACAGTCCGAGACCTTGACGTATGGGCCATACATCAAGTAAGCAACTCTGGCGACAGGGTTTTCCATTGGAAAGGTCACATTTAAGAACTGCGTCCATCTCTTTTTGAATTCCGCAGCTTGTTCTGCCTCTTGTATCCTGGCAACGGGGCTGGATCCTTGCATGTCCAGCCAAAACATTTTGTAATGTGCATCCCACACATCCATCAAAGCCCCATTGTATTTTCCAAACAATCTGTGAGGAACGTATCTGAAATCAATGTCTAGGTTGTGAAAAAACGCACTGAGGGAACTGAGAGGGGAGTGCTCGTGTTTCTCAATGTGGTCCAGCACAAATAATGTTTGAGAGTTAAGAAGCACAAGAGCCCGATACACACTCTTTAGCTTCATGGCGGATGAATAGGCTGAAGCAGACTCTCCACTCACGAACAACATGTCCTCATGCGACGAAGCTGCGATGACCTCCCCGGCGGTTTCCCCAACTTCCTTTTCTCCCCATCGTAGCCACTTTGAACATTCCCCCAACTGCCCTTCCCATGGCTGATTACACTGGCTGGTGGGTGAGGGGGAAAATACCAGCACATTGTTAAGATAGCTGTATTTAGGACCATACAAGGCTTCAGAGACAAACATCTGTCCATTTGGTGCAAAAGTGAAGGAGTTTTGATCAGGGTGCTCATGCCCTGGGTTGAAGTTCGTCCAGCCTTCTACCCAAGAATAAGGTTTGGCATGGACAATATCGTACACAGCTCGCCCTCCTAATTTTCCAGATTTAAATGACACAAAGGTATTGCCCTGAGCTTGAGGTAACCCTGCCCCATACGTCACTACACCCCAGTTGGAGAAAACGTGCATGGTTGCTTTGTTAAAGTCAGGCGGAGGCGATGAATTTAACTCAGAGTCATACCATATGTACTCTGTATGCAAAGTAGCCCAGCGTTGGGCTGCTGATTGCATCATGGGTCCATTTTTAGGTCGATGCATCCTAATCTGCTTTGCCAGCCAGTTTCCCGAGCCATTTCGGAGAACGTATGCATCCAGAAATACAAGCTGGCTTTCAGGCCCATAGAACCAGTTGTAATTGGAGTCTGCAATGCCAACCGTTCGTTTAAATCCAGGAAGCAGAGTAGCGAAGTAAAACATGAAGTGAGCTCTGAGCCAGTTGTTCTGCGTGTTGTCTATCTGAAAATGACGCAATGCTAAGTAAACATACTGAGTGATGGATTTTGCTGTGTAGCTACCATATGCAACACCCTCATCGAGAGAGCCATCGACAATGTGGCTGAGAAGGAACATGGTCTTTTCCATGTAGTTCACTGATATTTGCTTCCATATCATGGTCTCTGGGTCATTATGTTCCCCTGCCACAAGAGCGCCAATGAGAATGGCTAGTATATTAGTTGTCTGGTGGTTCTGTAGAAACTGTTTTCCCCATCCTCTGTGCTTGGAGAGCTCGAAAAGCTCCTCGGTAACAGATCGTATTTTCTTGAGATATCGCAATCTTCTGCGAGTGTTAAGAAAGGTGTAGATGAAATCATACGCTGTGGCAAAACCAGTGAGGGAGTGCGCAATCGGGACCTCATCATTTGGGGCACTGGACACCATCCAATCTGGATACTCCACCATTCTGTCCATGTACTCAATCAAAAACTGAGAGGCGGCAGCATCCTCAGGTTGAAGCAGACAGTACAGCGCTAGAGGGGGCAAATTGTTGCCATAAATCTCATTCCATTTCTTTCCGAAATCCTTGTGGTTCACCGGAGGCAGGTAAGCAGCTGCATTGGATAACATAACAGAAACAGCATTTTGAATCACTTTGAATATGTGTCTATGCGTAGTGGTGGCCCTCTGTTTCATGAAACGCACCTCTGTCTGATCAAAGTATAGCTTGGGGTGAAGGTGTGATGACAAGGTGGTATTGTCTGTTTGGTGTTCTTTCAAAGACACATATCTGTCTGAGGCAGACGAAATTCCACAGAAAACAAGTCCCACAGCCAAGACACAGAGCAGAACCGCAGACCTTTGCATGTTCTCCATAACCATATCCAAGAAACAGATGTGGTGCTTTTCTCTTGGAAAGCTCCTCCTCCAAAGCGTCCAAAAATTGTTATTAATCCAACTTATTCACATGTATTTTCCTTTAAGGCAAAAGTGTCATGGTATTTATATGCATTACATGGTATTTATGTAGCGAGTAGGAAACGTTCAGATTTCGTTGAGAAAACATGCTTTTAAATAAACTAAAGCTCCATAAACCCACGCAAAACATAAATCTACCACATTTATTTGTACGCTGTTGTAGGCTATTCAACTGGATAATGTTAATATCATCTCTCGCTAATATTTACAACTACATCCGCTCAAAATGTCATAACGGAAATATCATAAATGCAGAGATGTGTCAAATAAACTTCCGTTTTCAGAATCCGTCGTTTGATCCGCTGTTTCCAGAGAAAGTTGCTGCGTTCGGCGGTCACTGTTGACACCATGTAAAGTCACTGTTAACGCCTTTTACTCATCCTGTGACACGAGAAGTGAGATAATCCATTAATCCACTTTGAGGTGAAGTGATTTTACCGCTTGCTGTTTGTGGTGTTTTCAGCAGACATGAAGAATCCTTTCAAGCCATTTCAGTGTCACTTTTTAGGTTTTAGAGTTAAGTTTCCTCCATTAAATTCTTCCATGGCAGAATTGTCTCAGTGTTATAAGGCAAGTCGCTTTTTCCATCTTCCAAACTATCTATCACTTTCGGCATTAACAATTTTTAATATGGTCGATAGATGGCGTCGTAATATCACATTGTGTGGTTTTATATAGGTTATTTCCGGTAATCATGTCGTTTGATTTATAACCGATTAATCATGCTATACTAAAATATAGAATAGTTTTATAGTTGCCAAGTTGTTTTATAGGCTAGTTGTTTTATAGTTCATGTAATTTAGCCACAAGTCAGAATATAAACTTTGAAGCAGACACAGATCTGGGTTGAGAACTTTCATACCTTCAAACAAATAAAGAAAAAATATCCAGGGACCTCCAACATGTAGTAGACTGTTCAAATGAATTTGAACACAACTTGTTAACAGCATATGGCCATATAGCATTTGTGCTTTATTTATTTGATTGAAAATATTTATAGACTTGTTTCACATGATGGAAGCTTAATAAAATAAATTAAGTTGATTAAGTTATTTGAACTTTTATTTGATAAAGAAACCAACCCCAATATCAACAATGCAGACTGGGAAAACAATTTATAAAAATGGTGAAAGCAGTATTAAATACAGTGATGTTACAGATTAACATGATCCTAAATAAACAGTCCATGTTAATCCTCTTTCTTTGCTTCGGAGGTTTTTTCTGTGCTGCCAGGCTGCAATTCTGCTGCTTTCTTCCCGTGTGCATCCAAAGCAGGACTGGCTGTAGCTCCTTCCTCAGGTTTTTCATCATTTGTTGGTACAGCAGTACATGTAGCCCAGATAACCATTACAACAATGCCCACAGGCAGTCCACACACAAAACAGGAGAAGATTGGAGCTGTCTGGAACATTGACTGAGATCGAGAAGATTAATATTAGTTACTGGGACAACAGTGACCAAAATATTAGCCTCAAGTAAATATTTGATGAGGATGTGATCAACTGTGTGCTTTGGTTTTGGTGCATTAAGCATTTAGTAAATATTTGGGGAAAATGTAATAAGAGTAAATCTATCCTTTTGCTAAAAAAAATAAGTGTTGTCAGACTTACCACCAAAGTAGACTTCGCTTTAAAGAAATTTCTCCTAATGCACTGCAAAAACCCATTTCCTCCAAGTAGCTGGTTAAGGTAAAATGGAATTTTATTAGAAAAGGCCCATTGTATTTTGGAAGAAGGAAGTTATATTACAGAAAAGATGGATAAGGAAACATCTTCACGCCTCATACCGAAGTGCTGCCATCCAGAACGCTGTTGAGAAAGCGAAGTAAATCTTCAATGGTCTCAATCTCACTTTCTGGTAGATAGTATCCATCAATGGTCATATTCAGCACAATTATGGAGGGGATCGCAACTTCTCTGTGAAGAAGAAACATTGTAATATGGTGATTATACAAAAATATATGAGCACAGAATGGACTTCTCAGTAATATGCAGTTTTTGCACTTTGCACCTGCTAAAAATCTGCATTCAATTCAACTCACCCCATAATTAAACCATTGATATATTCATTACCATCCATATAACCAAACTGGTAATCACTAGGAGAAGAAAAAAACAATATGACCTTTGGTAACACATACTTTGATAAACTCAGATGTCAGGTGCTGTTTTTGTTTACAGTTCATATAAATGTGCTACCTACCTTTTATAATGATCTCTGTATTCAGTAGACAGCCTTTCCATCATAGTTTTGTAACTAAAGAGAAATAATGGGAGGGGGGAAACTGGCTATTGTCATGGTTTTGATGACTTTCATGCATGTTTTCTAATGTTACTTACCGAATGCTTTCTTCAGATGGATTTTTCTCATCTACTACTGCCAATGCCACAAGTTTACCTTTGAGGAAAGTGTGAGAAATGAACAGTGACACAACAAATTATGTATGCATGGAAAGTTCACATAATCACAATCTGTCAACGCATCGTTTTCACATATAAATATTGTCTCTTGGCAGAAAGTCATCTAGCAGTTTTGTTTAGTTTTTTTCACCTAGTGGCAAAAACATAGAAATGGTGTTAATTAATGACAATACATTTTGTACATTGAATAGATTATTAGAAAATAAGTTCATATAGAAAGACATGCTTACTTTGTTCTCCCATTTGGTACAGACTGAAGCTATCGATTTGGAAGTAAGTGGGAAAACGTTCTCGATTTATCCAGGAAGACAGATCACCATCAAGAAATTCTATAGAAATGATAAAACAAGAGAGATGAAACTTTTTATTACTTCATGTAAATTTAAGGTGTTCATATATGAAATGTAGCCCAGCACTTATTAAAGGTCACCATCAAGCCTGTGTAAACAATATGCAAAGTTAAACACTCAAAAATGTTTAATCATAAAAAAACAAATGATCTTTCATTTTATTATCAGAGTGTTTCTGTCCACTAACTGTGCATTCAATTATGCAAAATACGTTACTTGCACACAGTCAAGATGTTGACTTAAAGGGTGTGTATTTGATGATAGCCCAGACGATGTTCAGAATAAGCCACATGACAGAGGAGAGCTGGAACACGTTACTGTCTCTGTATTCTCGGAATTTGGAATATAATGGTAAGAAACAATTGCTACATCCATAGCGTCTTCACAAAAATCTTTTCACTTGTTTCTTATATACGTGCAAGAACCTGTGGTAAGTACTTTTAACAAAACAAGTACTTTTATGCCTGAATTCCAGCAATAAAGAAAATGTAAATGTGCTTTCATATAAGATATAATGGTCATATACATGGATATAATGGTGACCTGTAATATTTATTTAACATTTTTGTGAACTTTTTTTATTGTCTGTTTATGCTTCTGTTTTTATTAGAAGGATTACCATCTGAACTATGTTCTGAAAAGATGCCATTTAACAATGTAAATAATGTCAGGTAAGCGATTCATAAGGACTGACTTCCAAGTTGAAACAATTGCATGGATATCATATATATATATATATATATATATATATATATATATATATATATATATATATATAAACTTTTAGCATATACAATTCTGACAAAATCTGTATTGCTTTTTAGTAATCAAGAAGATGTTAATACATAATATCTGCTGCAGAATCTACTTTCTACACCTTGTCTTTAACCTTGCACCATGGATGTGTTAACTATTCATGTCGTGGAGGACTCGTCTGACAGTGCCGCGTTCTGGGTCCAGGTTCGATGTGCTGATCCTTTCCTGCTAAATTTCTGGCTCCAAAAGACCTTCTTCAACAATGGGGAAGTCCAGCAGATCAACACCCTGAGGATAAACGGCTGTCATGGGCTAGTGTTTGTTTTGAGGGTGCTGCATCGTTCTTCACGCCTGCCTAATTCGCATTATTGGTGCCCTTTCCTAGTGACGCTCTGCCTCGATGCCCTGGCATTTCACTACCACCTCCCCTCTCTCCCCCAGTGGAACGGCACCCTTCGAGAGGCGATGAGAGGAAACAGCCTTGAACTCAGACGCTGAGAGACTATGAGATTTTGCTGCTTACAGATCCTGTTAGTTTCAGATATTTGCTTAGTTAAGTGATGCACTGCAAGTAGTACATCTTACCGTTGTAGAGGTAGTACGTGCCATCTTTGAACACAGCAACAACGGGAACATCCTGCAGAGTGACTGCCTATGTGGAGAAAATCAATAATGGTTTATTTTCTAAGAAGTTAAAAAGAAATCTTTTTCATTTTCTCTGAAAAGTGAAACTTTTACCTTTGGAAGGATTTCCTCAGATGCAGAGAAAAAATAAGTGTGGACAATATACTCAGTTGCAGCTTTATAGTATTCCTTCTGTTAAAAACAAAACAAAAAAACGTTGAATTATATATTCCTGAATGACTTTGCATGGCTTGCAAATAAATATATTTACACAGTTTATTTATAAAACAATAATTATAAAAAAAAAAACCAATCTAATAGTTGTAGTTGGGAACTCATGCTCTACTGTTCATTAGTTTGCATTTCATTCCTATTCCAACGTAATTCAATCAAACATTGTACATAATTCCTGTATGACAGACAATCATTTTACATAATTTTTACCTTAAGAAGCGACTCCCCTCCAATGTAAACGAAGATAAGATCATGACGACTCATAACATGCTGGAACAACTGAACACTGGAGAGAGTTCTTACCACAGGACTAGATTAAATAAAAAAGGACAAGGGGATTGCATGAAGAAAATTACAACTAACACTGACATAAGAATGGGGTGCAGTGCAGAACATAAAAGACACAATATAATATGATGGAATTTACTCTAGAATTACCCTGAAACTCTATTGGTATATTCAATAATAGCGTCCTTTGTTCTTGGTCCTTTGTAGTCAAAAGACAGGTCTCCTTTAAATCTTTTTAAGAGAACAAAACAAATAAAAAGAGTCAAATACAGCATGAACAATAATTTACATATGATTTATGATAACAAGAAGGCATTAACTCACAGTTTTATGGTTGGATATCCACGGATATTAAACTCTGAAGCCATGCCTAAAGACACAAGTGATCAAGCTTCCGTGTTTTATTTGAAATAATTATAATAATTTTGTACTAATACATCAGTGGAGAATCATTTCAGAATAAAGATAATAATGGTAGCATTAGTTAAATAACTCATACTTAAAAGATTGTCATTAGTTAATTGTGGTAGCTATCATTATAGATTACTATTAATTTTTTAAACACTAATCTAATCTAATTAATAACAGGGTTTACCAATGGCGGGGGGTAAAACAAAAGACATGGGCTTCATTTTAGCTAGAAAGCTTATGTGTGATCTTAATAATAAGATTATAATATTAATATTAAGTCAGCAATAGGCAGACACTGAACAATCTAATTTCAAGAAATTAAAAGGATTGCTGAAATGCAACTTGTGCCATATGGCCATCTGGTTAACAAGATACAGACTCAATACAGACTATGTATACAGTTCAGCGAACTGAGTCTCATGAACGCAAGGCCTGCTTAACTAATCCCATTAAACAGCAGGTAAGCCTATCCTGCCGTTTAAGTAGCATACTAATTGGTTGCTAAGCAATGGCCTGGTGTGGCATTACCATTACTGTCATCTCAAACCAAGCAACAACACAAGCTTTCATCTTAGGCCCCCCTGGCATAAATGCAGTTCTTGGTAATCTTAAAAACAATTTTTGGTATGCATTCAGTGTAACCAAATCTTTCCAACATACACACTTTTGCACACAAATGAATGGGACATACTTGTGTGCTCTGTGGTATCCATCTTGCCCACATTAACAGGAGAGCCCAAACTCTTCAGCTCTGCACCGACTTCATACCATATAGGCTCAAATGTGTGACAGTATGCGCACCATGGAGCATAAAACTGCAATAATAATAAAAAACAACAACAAAAATCACACAGTTGGCTTGTTAGAAATTTGCAAAACACACAACATAAAATTGCATAAATTAGACTCTCACCTCCACCAGCCAGAGTTCACCCTGTCGGTTTTCCTTAAACCTGTAAATGTGAACTGTTTAATGCATTCCATCAAACGTGCCTGTATGTATGTAGCCAACATTATTAATATAAATAGTATGACTAGATAGATAGTCACAGATAAAATGATATATGCTTCTATCTATTATTACGCAAAATCATTAAGTGGAATTTCTCAAGATCTCAGTGTGTTAATGCAACAAAAATAACTTCGCTGCATTGACAACACACACTAGCCTACTCAAGCACAATCACTTCCTTTACAATGTGAAGCACTTATAATAGCTTACTTGTCATCCAGTTCCTCCACGTAACCTGACACCACCACAGCAATGACCGAAAGAAGCGCTATCGCAAAATACAATAAAATAAATAAATGCAGTAACTTACTGTTAGGCAAGTGTCAATCAGTCGTGTTAATAAGATTAGAATTCTGTAGTTTTATATTGGCGAACATGGTGTCCAATTACAATGCGTCTATACAGCCTACCTGTAAATATTAAGTTTCTCATTCTTGCTATCCTTGAAATTTGTCATTAACCGCGCAATGTCCTTTAATGTTAACGTACTGACAGCAGAGTTGGTGTTGGGTTATAGTCTAATCATCAGACTGGTTGTAATAAGCTCTTGACCGACAGACTAGATTAACCCCATTGCCCCGAGGGGTAGGAGCGTAGGCTACAGATTTAGGCCACAATTTGAATTTGGACAAGTGGATGGTTTGATCGCGCAACGTTTGAATTCGATTTTAGTCTTGTATTTTACAGAGTACACAGTTTCAGTCTAAATAAACCAATATTAACAACGTGTTCTAATTTTAAAATATTTAAAACTGTTAAAAATATATGTGTTTGAGTGTCATATTGGTATGAATATATTTAGATAAGCCAGTTGACCAACTAAACCGCAAACTCTCCCCAGCAGCATAGCCTGCCCTACACGAGATCCAGGGGGTGGAGTTGGATCCAGGTCTTAGGGGTGGAAAGGGGTAGGATTAGGGGTGGTGTTAGGGATCAGGGGTGGAAATGGGAAGGTTTAGATATGTACTGTAAGTTAGGGTTATAAGGGTTAGGGCTAACCCTGGATTTCGTGTTCTGCATTGAGGACCATCTCCCAATCTTTTAATTGTTGTTGTCATTTTGGTCCCACTTTGTATTAAGTGTCGTAACTAGTATCCTAGAGTAATACATAAATTATTGTGTTTATATATATATATATATATATATATATATATATATATATATATATATTATACTTATTCCACATCAATAGCAGCAAAGTATTAGTATATTATGATATAAATATTATATAATATAATACAGGTATTTTGGTGAACAGATGTAGGCCAGTAGAAAACAGATATAGGCCTACAATAAGTGCACTGTATCTTGTATAACTAATTATTGTAAATATTAGAACACTTTATATAAAGGGAGTTTATTATTATTATTATTATTATTATTATTATTATTATACAATTGACAACTCTTAGGCTTCATGAATCATATTGTTTAATCACGTCTTCTCTGCCAAAAGATGGCGCCACAATCCACAATTGGAATACAGCTGCTTCGTGTTTTATTTGGAAGGCAGCTCTGTGCTAAAATATAAGTGGGGATCATTACATTAACCCTATAGGTTACATAACAATTTACCCACAGTGGGTTAGTAGGCTAATTTTAGAATTCCTAACTGAATAAATACTTAAAACGTTGTCAATGCATTCCCTCACAATTGTTTATTGTTCTTACATTTTTTTTTCGATCCTATAACACAATGGAATTCATTTTAAAACATACAGAGATGTCAAGAATAGGGCCTAATAACCATTAATGTAAATCTACTTTTGTATTTTATTATGCCATATAATCAAGCCTATCATTGCACAACTGTACCTTGAGTAAACATTTTGATTCGCGGAAAGACGAGTCAATCAATCGAAATACCCGCCCACAGTGGTATCTGCCTCCCCAGTGATTGGTTCAAAATAATACCGTTTAAGAAGTCTCTTGTATCTCTATGGCCGACGTTGACGTCCATCTCCATCAAATGAAAACGTAAGTTTGGTCCGTGGGGAGAGGCAACTGTTGTGGAAGTGGCTGTTTCTTGAATATACTTCATTGCATTTTAAGTCAACCCAAGAGGAATTACGTCTTTGGCGATTGACTGCTTGCTAAATTAGTTAGGAATATATATAAGGAACCGATTTGAAGAGCCTGACAGGATATTGAAAGAAGGACTCCCTAGAAAGAGCTCGCGCTTTATTTATTTTCTCTTGACCGCTTCATGTTTGTGGTCAGAACGACGAAACGTACGCAGTTATCTACTTGTGCACGTTGAAAAGTGCGTTTTTGTAGGAAAGTTGATTATAGTTGTGGTGAATTAAGTTGTAATACGCTCACACGAAGCTGGTGTTGTTTAATTCGTCTTGCAGTTTAAATAGTTAGCCGACACTTGGTCAAAACAGGCAATTATATGTTAATGGATTGTAGTGTATGGCCCTTGTTTGCTATTGCAAAATGCAATGGGACTAAGTGAGGCCTTTCGATCGCCCGATGATCAGGTAAGTTAAGACAATTAACTTTTTGTGCGATCTTTCCTCTTGGTTTTTAAGTAACGTTACATTGAACGTGATACCCACGCGCGTGTACAGTAAACAATTAAAAGGCGCTTTGGTGTCCACATAATGAGTAACAGTTTAATGACAGCAATACACTTGCACCTGATCACCATTCTCAGCGGTATTCTGGCGCTTATTGTTTTGCAGAAACCGAGTTCACTTTCGGTCAGCAACACAGCATCAATTATGCGAGCTAAGATTGCAACACTTGCACTTCCGAGTTGTTTTCGCGTCCGCTTTCTGCTTCCCTAGTAACTACCCACGCGCAATTATTGTGTATAGCAGTTTGCAAATTCAACCTGATTGCTAGGAAACCTTGCCATAGTTAGTTTACTTTTAAGTATGTGTTCTTGTTTATTAAATGATGGGGATGATTTGTAATAATTGAACAAAATCAATTTTTGATAAATCGTTGTTGTAAGTTTATATATTGACCATGTGAAGTGAGTTGTGTGTTTAGGCCAGTAAAGTGTCAAGTATCCTCGTTAATAGGCCTATTTACGTCTAAGCACTTCTTAGCAACATCTTGAGCAGATTTTGAGGTGTTAAGATGATTCATGATAAATAACTCCTTGCTGTTTTCCTACTGTTAAGTATGTCAAATGCATGCACTAAATGTGTGGTATGAGCTAAAAATGTCTGTACAAGATGGTCAAGTCCTTCTCATTTCTTATTTCTAATCTTTTGGAATGTCAGACATGCTGTTGTTATACCATAAGCAAGGTTGCTCTGTCTAATTATGTCATTTAAAATACCTGTAACCTGTAGATTGTGAAGGCATTACAACCTCTTTTGGAATTTGTCTTGCTTTTTGGCTGCTAGAGATCATGAGTCAGATACTTGAGTAGTGCCTAGCACTACTCTAGTTAGCTACTGTCTGTTTTTGTTTTGGTAGAACCTGTTGTAGCCTATGTAGTGCATCATTTTTGACCCCGTGACGTGCTTATTTCCAGGCTGAGAGGGTTATTTTTGGAAATAAGAGATTGGTATATTGGTCAAATCATGAAGTATGTTGTTGAACATTGAGAGCTTCCCTTAAGGCTTTCCCAACTGAAGGTCAAGTTTGAAATGAATTCTGTGGAAAGTTGCCACTGGAATCATGATCAAAACAGCTGTATTAGGTCCAGTCCTTCTTACATATGCCAACTCTGAACACTGTACTTTTGGTTGCTTTCTATAGTAAGTCACATAATTGAGTGAATGTTTATGGAAACAAAAACAGAGGGACAACCCACTTTAATTATTAAAGTAAGCCATAAGATTGGCTCCTTCATTTGAAAATCACAGGAGGAATTGATTAGGAGTTGATTTATCACAGTGTTGGGAGTAGAGCCAGCTGTTGAGCGGCCTAAGGCCTGCGTAAATCCTGCGTAAATGTTTTGGTCCTTTTTAAAGTGGCTTTTTACTGGGGTGTGGCACTCGACTATGAGAGTGGGAAGCCAGTGTTTAGATCCTCCTGGCAGAGTTTTGTTTATTTATTTCCCTATTTCATTCCCAAGCTTATAACTGGAACGTTGCAGGGATAGTTTATCCCATATCCGTCCGTTGTTTTTATATGTCTTTTTCTTTTCTTGTTTTTCAAACAATTTCAAGTTTGTTCGCAAACCGGCGGCACATTGCATATAAATTGTAATAATAGTGACATTTAAACATTTGGGTCGGACTTGCGTTCATTTTAGTTACATAGTTTTAACTGCTTTAGGTACTAATGTTAAAGCATCCTCTCATAATATACTGCTGTTCTCCATTAATGGAGAATCTAGTCAACAAATTACTTGCTTTATAATAATATGAAAACATCGTGTACATACTGTATACATACTGTTTCACTGTCACTTTTAAATTCACATTTTTATCCAGACATCAATGGCTTATTGATCATTATGGATGTTATCAATCATTTAGTTGTTGCTAGTTTGAGTTGAGAAATACACATTTCAGAATTATCACTAATCTATGTTTGCATTTTGCACGCAAGTTGACGCATGAAACCACTTGTTTATTATATCGCAATCGCATATTCGCAACATTGACCTCAATAATCGCAATATGACATTTTCCCTAAATCGTGCAGCTCTAGTTTTTGGTTTCTTTCAGTACAAATGACTATTTTAGTAAACAAAACATATTCAGTTGTAATAAGAATGGGTAATATAATGGGACATAGCCAACGTACTGTTATTAACAGTATTTTACTTTTCTGTTTATTCCTCTGTAGGTCTGGAAAGGACCATCAAAAATGTGAACCGGTGATTGATAATCTACCAGATTAATTTTTGCACCAACAGCAATGGAGCGGAGCAAACGGAACTCCATTGCTGGGTTTCCCACACGGCCAGATCGGCTGGAGGACCTGGATTGTGGAGGAGGAGGAGCAGAAACTGGTCTTGCACCGCTGGACAGGGTCTGTCCCTCTTCTTACCGGGCCCTCATCAGTGCCTTTTCTTGCCTGACCCGACTCGATGACTTCATCTGCGAGTGGATTGGCTCTGGGTTTTTTTCAGAGGTCTACAAGGTAAGATGGTTGTCTGACAACCAAGTAATTTCGATTTCAGTTCTTAGTCGCTTGCCCTTACCAAAGTCCACCTGCAGAGTTGAGTTCTGAATCAGAATGAACTTTATTTGTGAATTCGAGGATTTTTTTTTTTCTTTTCTCCCTGAAGCTCTTGGTATATGCATGCATACATATGACACAAATTGGAAGAACGTTTAAATAAAACTAAAAAAGAACATACGAATAAAATGGTACATCTAAATAGAAGACTTGTGTATAGATTTCTGCGTTATGTGCTGTATAAACTACAGCTCTATGTATGTATTTACATAATATCAAATTATTTCCACGATCTCTCAAGTACTGATGTATGAATTATAGAAAAAGGTAGTAATTGCTGTGTTAATTGTTTAAGCTGGAGATGGCATTCGGGAAAATCTTCGGCATTCTGTTTTTATGCCTGTATGTTCTGGTGCATAGAGATCTGCCTGAGGGGAGAAGTGAGTCTGATGATGTTACCTGCCCATTTCTTTGCTGTAAAGATGTACAAGTCCTGAAGGTTGGGCAGCTGCACACCGATTAACTTTCTTAGCTGTCCTAACAGTCCGTTACAGTCTTCTTATGTCTGATTTGCCTGCTACTGACCCAAACCAGATAGTTATAGAAGTTCACAATTCTGACTCAATTACAGCTGAGTAAGATTGTGTCATCTGCGGCTGTGGCAGGTTCAACTCGTTCTGTTGATGAAGAAAGTACAATTTTCTTTCTACATTTACATATGTATTTATTCATTTAGCAGACACTTTTATCCAAAGCGACTTACAAATGAGAACAATAGAAGCAGTTAAACTAACAGTAGGACAACAATATGCAAGTGCTATGACCCTTCCCAGTTTAATCCTACAAAAAAATGTAATAGAAGAGACATAACTGGATCACGTGCTGCCGAAAAAGATGCAGCTCTCGTTGAGTTGGACAAGTCATTCCACCAGCAGGGAACAGTCATGGTAAAGGTCCAAGAAAGAGATTTTGTGCCTCTTTGTGATGGTACAACAAGATGGCATTTGCTTGCAGAGTGCAAGTTTCTGGATGCCACATAAGTCTGAAGTAATGAGTTTAAGGTAAAAGGGAGCAGAGCCAGTGATTGTTCTGTAAGCAAACGTCAGCTCCCGCTGCATGTGTAATTGCGCGTCAACGACGCAAAGTATAAATGAAAACCAACGTGTAGTCTATATCGCAGAGGCTCCGTGTGTAGGTCCAACGCAGAAGTATAAATCAGCCTTTTGGGAGGTCCTGATCCTCTTAATGTTGTGCAAGGCAAATCTACGTGACTGGGCAGTTCTAGCAATGTGGTCTAAAATAGTCTTCCTGTGAATTTTCTGACATGCTTAATTATAGTCATAAGTGAACATGAAATCGTTTGTTTTTAGGTGTGTAATAACTTTCTAGTTTTTACACTTTAGGAGGTGAAAGTTGTGTAGCCTTTCTCAAAGATAGACAGATTCAGTGGAAGAGGCCCTAAAGGAGGAAAATAAGGTTAATCTTGTGATTCAGCTGAATAGCTGTCATCCCGGTTGTAATGCCAGCTTTTGGCATGTAAAATTGAATGTTGTTTGCTAATGATGTAGAATACTTGCTATTGGACAACAATACTGAGTTAACTCAAGCAATAACAGTATCGATCCCTGCGGTGATGGTGAAGATGGAACATAGCGGTCGAATGTTGGGAATGATTCCGTTTTCTAACTAGCTTTTAGTGTGGTAAAACTGGCTGCTTCAAGTCTATTTAAATATTGTTGGGCTTAAAGTATTGCATAACTTTTTTTTTTAGATTTTTTTTATAAAGTAACATTGCCTAAAGTAATTTTGTCTCTTAACCCTTCCTAATTGCTCACTGGTTATATATTGGCAAGTATCGTGACAGTGAACATTGTAATGTCAGATAATTTCTTGTTTAGTTGTTAAGACCTACAGTACATTAAATTGAGTACTTCTACCCTTGATGCTGAGCATCAGTGGTATGGTAGGCTCTGTGGGGTTATATTCACTGTGAATAATTCAATGAAGTTTTGAGGTCAGAAAAGCCCTGAGAGAAGAGTGCATCATCATCATGATGCCCATTACTAAGATCAATTCTTCTGTCATAGCAGTGAAAGCAGGGTTTTTCCTGGGTCTTCGGTGGTGGCGGATGAACACGGTCATCCACACACAATACAAAGTACCCAACACGTGAACTGTGAGCCCAGTACTGACAATAAATCCCAAATAAATAAAAAAAAGCAAAGAAACAGTTTGTAATATTACCTTATCTTATTTATTTCTGAAATAGAAAATAATCAGTGTCAGGACAGATTGAACGTGAACCGATCACCTCTTCCGTTTAACTAATTACAACACGAAATAAACATGAATAAACATCAGAAGGTATGAAGAAAAAGACACGGTGCAATTTCCCGAAATGTGTATCAAGTCACATGTAATCACTCGATCAGTGTTTCAACCGTGGAAAGGTGCCAATGAAACAGCACGCTAACATCACATTTATCTCAGAAAAGCCATTAAATGTTAAACTCATAAGTTAGCTAGAAAAATTTACTTAGAAAGGGGCATTTTGTTAAATCTATTCGCTATATTGCTTATTCATTGTATTTTATATGTTCTTCAATGTGTTTTAATAATGCTTTTTTTTTTTGACAGCCACCATTTAATTTAACCTTTGTTAAATAAAAAAGTGATTAGAAACATAATTATGGCATTAAAAATAATAATAAACATTATTATTATTATTATAAACATTATTATACAGACATCCTTGTGTAATTTAAATGTAAGTAGCCGTACAGCTCAATTAACTTTAACCTTTGATATTATAATGATGCACCCATTGGTTTTCCCTGTATAATTTACAGCATTAGTTGAGTTAGTATATATATTTGAGGAAATTAACCATGTACTTTACCTGATAGAGCCCAAATTAGTCTATTTTGAATTGCAAGCTTGTGAATCGAGGACGAAATTTGAATACCCTGCCCTAGTGTCAATAAATGTTGTTGGTTTTGTCTTGTTTTTACGCAAATGTTGTCTTTTCCCTTTATATTCTTGTCAGAATGAACTTGAATAGTTCATTTGCATTAATAATTAATTTCTTTGCCCCCAGAAATCAACAGTATCATTTGTAGACATGTCACCTTTTTCTCCTCCTCTGATTTTGCAGGTCTGGGCATTACTGGTCAGTGTTTTGTTGTATAAATCTATTAAGAATATTCCCTCCCTTCCCCACACAGGTGGCTGAGATTTAAAGCACAGTAAATGTCTTTAGGATGACAGGCAGGGGGTGTGCATGTGGCACAGACAGGGATAATGCGCTGAGCCAACTCCCAGCTGTGATGGGGGTCTGCAAGATCCTGTCTGGAAAGCTAATACAATAATAGCTCATTTCAGTTTATTTGAACATGAGTTTCAATGTGTATCCATATGAAAAACTCAAACAAACATCCTAAAACCTCACAGTGCTATGGAGAATCCCTAAATAATCATACTGCTCAATTTGCTAATCCATCAACATTTGAGGAACCGAAAAATGTTCCTAGGACACTGGATTTGTTGCATTATGGGCAGCAAGCTGTGACTTGATATTAGCAGAACAGATTGAGAGTTTGGGTGCCGTAGAGAAGGCATCTGGGTCCATGTCTGACAGGCGGCTCTCACTGTAGGTGGCCACACGAAACGGGCTCTTGCTAGGCCGCTGATCCCAGAAGTGCAATTGGTTGCACACTGCTGCAGTACAGTCAGCACCATGCATTTAAAGTAAAATGACATCCTCATAAAATGTTGCTGTGTGTGCAACATTCAGTGAAGTTAACACAGAATTCAATGTTTTGGTTCCCTAGCTAGCACTGAATTGAGTAATCCTTCAGCTGTGTTTTGTCTTTCCATGACCGTATGCAGTTTGAGGAATTCAGCGTTTTACAGATATAAATGCATTAATGAGGATATCATGTGGTTGATATTTGCCTTTTTATTGGTCAGTGAGATGAAAGCACAAAAAGGAAACTAGGAAAACGGATATGCAGAAGCACATTTTAGAAATATTATGAAACCCCCAACCAATAGTCATTCATGCAATCAGTATTTGTCTATTCCATTTTTCACCTTGTGCTAGAATATTGGTTGTGTAATAAAGATTTTTAAAAATGATTATGGTAATGTATGTCACTTCCCATCTGAGTGTTGTGGTTATTACTTTCTCCAATGCCCATAATCATAGTTGCCAGTGAGAAGCAATGGGCCAAGATGCACTGAACAAAATTATTTTCATCTTAAAGAAAATATAAAGAATGTACATTCAGAGTATATGAAAACTAAGTTCCTCATTTCATTTTGTCGGTATGGCTTAGTTCAAATTCAGAGTAAGACTGAAAGAACATTCTCATTTTGTTTGTTTTAGGTGCGTCACAAAGCTTCGGACCAGGTAATGGCCCTAAAGATGAACAAGCTAAGCAGTAATCGTGCCAACATGCTGCGAGAAGTTCAGCTCATGAACAGACTCTCCCACCCCAACATACTCAGGTGCTTTCACACAACATACTTTGCTTTCATTTTAACACTGTTGTCACAGTGAGTTTTTCAGCAAGCAGGAAATGTATTCTGGGGTAGTGAATGAACAGCGCTCTCTTCTACTCTCTTTCCCCACAACTGAGGTGCCCTTGAGCAAGGCACCTACCCCCAATCACTCCATGGCTTCCCACTCCGGGTGTGTGTGTGTGTGGACTTGGATGGGTGAAATGCAAAGCACAGATTTGTAAAAATGGGCCACCATACTTGGTAGGGCTGGGTAAAAAAATTGATTTCTTGGTTTTAATCAATTCTCATTTTTACGAACATCTACGGTTTATACCAACCAATTAGTCTACCCTTTTTTCAGTTGATGAATGAATGGAACATTGTAGCATGCCTCAAATCCAATAAATCACAATAAGCTTTGTGCTTTGTTAATTTTGATATGAAACAAAGTCTCTGATTTCCAATTCTGTTCTTTTTCCCTTTTTTTTTTTTCGAAAAAAAAAATAATTGTTTTGGCACCGTTAAGGTAGCCTGACAAATCGCTGTAGCGCCTCAAAGTGGCAGCATGGAGCGCACGTGAACTGATCATCTCCTCCGCTTTAATACCAGTTACAATGCAAAATAAACATGAATGAACATTGTTAAATTTGCTAAAATCTGTCTCATGTAATTACTTGTTTCAACCGCAGAAAAACGTCAAATGAAACCGTTTGTAAACAATGTCACATTTTGTCAAATATGCATTTTTATAAACTATATAAACTTCTAGTGGATGTAGGAGTAGCGTTAGCTTATGTGAGAGTAACGCCTCTCGTGGTTCAAACAAATAGGGCAGGGCAACAAAGTCAAGCTCCTCTTCTCTTATATCGAAAATCTATGATATTTCTCTTAAAAAATTCTGTAATTCGTGACCGGTGTTTTGCTATATTCTTTGTGCTTCTGCGTTTTTCAATATGTCATGCGTTGGGTCATAAGTTACTCTTCCGCCAGAAACTTCCATTCTCAGGAACTTTCTTACGAACTTCTTAGAATTTATCTTAAGAATTTTCTTTACTTTTTTTTCTGGATCTCCTCTTTTCTTCCCCTGGTGTCTTTTTCTCTGTTGCCATGTGTCTCTGTGTGATTACTTTATTAAATTGGTGTCTTGGCGATTGCAGTTGCGGTTTACGCTTACAAGAAACTAAGGAGCTGATGCCAATAAAAGTAAATTTAACAAGCTTGTGTTTCAAAGAAAAACACAACTGCAGTATTCATATAAAGCAGTAGCTGATGTAGCTTAATATATATATCAGGTTTCCTTCTCTTTGGACAAGGTGTGTGCCTCGCTTTATGCCCTGCCAGTGGCTCAAAATGAATGCCGTCCTTTAAATAGGGAGACTGTGGGAGTGTTGCTTTCAATATGAATCTTTCTCTCCTTTGTAATGGAAACGCAGACATGACCTCTTCCTCCCCGTTCCACAGAAATCCATTAAAAATAGATGGAGTGTAACGACATCCTGAGTTTAGATTTCATTGAGATCAAAAAGCCTCCTCTTGGTTCTCCACATCAGCTCAGAGAAGAACTAGTGAGTTTTGTCTGCTGATATAGCCTGCACCTGGAGATGAATGGGGAATTGGACCTGAGAATATTAGACAAGTAGTTCAGATATGGTGTATATTTTTATTTTTTACTTGTGTATTTTTTTATATTTGTTTTTATGTACTCATTTTTAATTTATTTGTTTGTCACATTTATTTATTATGTCATGTTTATATGACAAAATGCCATCTAGAGAAATTTTTGTGATGCTTGTCTAGTTTGTAAAGCAGAATGTGAGTTTGTAGGTGGATGAGAGAGAGATGGGGTCTGTGTGTGGTTTACAATCACACCATTGTTACTTCTTATTGAACGGGGGTTGAGGGACTCCAGCGCAGACAGGAGAAGGCTGAGGGGATCTTTGTTGAAGAAATCCCAACACAGACCCGCAATAAAAGCCAGGCCTGGGGTTTATGGGGCCATAACTTTGAAAACAGACAGATTTGTATCCTGTGTACTGACTCGTGTGAGGTGGCCATTCAGGGACATTGATACATGGTGTCATGGCTGAGAATACATTAGTGAAAAGCTACAGCATGTGTATATTATGTAGGTCCCACACTAGACATTTATATGGTCTGTATTTTTCAAATCTGATCTCTTTGACTGTTTGCCCAGTCATTTGTGCAAATTGATGACTTTCTGAACATTTTACTTCTGCTAATGGACTTGTGACACCTCGCATCAGACAACACAAGTGACCGAGATATAGTTGAGATATACTTTGAGATAGTCTTCTTTACTCATTCAGACACTACTGTTCAAAAGTTTTTGCTCTGTAGGATTTTTTTTTTTTTTTCATGTTTTTGAAAGAAAACATGAAATCATTTTTAACACAAGAAATGAACGTAGAGCATAAAACATAAGTCGTCTATTTGACAGTAGCTTCAGAGAAAGTCAACATTGGCGTAGATGACAACAGCTTAGTCTAATGATATTGCTGAATTAGCGCTTATTCCATTGTGCATTGATTTTTTTTTTTTTACTTTGTTTGTGTTGTAGATTCATGGGAGTGTGTGTTCAGGAAGGTCAGCTTCATGCTCTCACAGAGGTAAGCGAATTCAGCTCAGACTCAGCTTTCATTCACCACACATCTATTCATTTGACCCTTACCCTTCATCGTGGGCAGTAGAGGTGGGAGATATGACGAAAATCCTGTATCACGATATGAGTCATCTTATTTCACAATAACTTGTATATAAGTTTTGCTTCAAGTACGTTTTTTTTATAATTTCAAAATTTGATATACAATTGAAAAAAATTATTGTCATCAAATTCAATATCACAAACTAATACTAGCCTAAGTAAAAAGAAGTTTAAAAAAATTACTGTAGACAAGTAAACAGTCAATGAAAAAAATAAGAACAAGGCAACTAATTACAAGCAATAGGAAAACAGACAAATTAAATAGGCCTAGGAAATACTGCATACATTATATGAAATAATCAAATGTATAAAAAAAACACTTGCATCAATTTTACATCAACAAAATTTTACATTAATCAAAGGCACTTTCAGTGACAGTGAGCTGCATTAAGCGTGATTGAAATGGAGGCTACAAAGAAATGTCAAATTTATTTTGGTCATGGCTTGTCTTAAAAACGAAGACAATCTGACAGTCGTAAAATTTGATCGCAATGGTCATTATCGGTTTTCAGTGAACATGTTAAATTAACAATCAATGACTTCATATGTTAGCCTAGGATCAGTGGAATCTTTTAGGATTTGTGGCACAGACGGCAAAATCGTGGGCCAAACTCGCACCGTGTGCACCGGGGCTTAAGAGTGTTTGCAGTGTACCTTGATTCCTAAATCTGTGGCATTTCCCCCTGTGAACAAAATGACTCTCTGTGACATTGAACAGTTTACTCTTTGTTCGCTGTGCCCAAGGGGAAGTATTCTATTAGAGAGCCTACTAGCAGTCCCTTAAGGCATGATGTTTTTTTCCATCTCAAACAGTGTTTTATGCCTGTATGCATGTTGCAGTGCAATATAGTCCTATGCTGAAGAGTAACATTGATTACACAGGAACGAAGTGTACAAGGGAGTTTTTTGCAAAGCAATGGCCTTTTACGAAGGTTAAATGAAAGCTTTGTTTTTATAAAAACCAAGAATAAATTGCAGACACTGAGCTAAATGTGCTATCGAAAGACAACATATGAGCCGGTTCACTCAGAACTCAGGTTCACTCAGTTTTTTGCACGAGTCTCGAGTCTTTTAAAACTTATTTTAATGCTGTGTCATGCGCGAGACGCTTGCAAAAGATGTAAGACAGAAGAACAATGGTCAAACTCGTCCATCTAGTGCTTTTACATAGAAAAATAATGGAAAAGGAGCACAGTTGAATGGAAAAACTCATTCTGGTCATGATGGGTTTTAACTTCATTCAGGAGATTTTGGGTAATTGCACAACTGACAGCTGGCTTTGAGCGCACCGCCAATGGTGTGTGTGTGTGTGGGTATAACCATAGCGACAAAACAACCAACTTTCGGATCCTGCACTTAAGATTATAATTTTGTTTTTAAAAATATTTATGTATTTAAAAGTTGCAGAATGGATTGATTTGGAGACTTCGAAATCGGCAGAGATAGACAGGCAATGCAAAACAAAGTCTTATTGCTCTGTTTTTTTTGCCTTGGTCTTGTCTTGGTCTCGATACCCTCTGGTCTTGGTAGTGTCTTGGTCTCGGTTTAGGTGGTCTTGACTAAAATATAATGGAAATACAAGCTTATCATCATCATGTCACATATACACGGTAGACTTGTAAACTATTGCTGGTCCCTTGTTCTTGCTGCAGCCCTGTGACCTTTTCTCTGCTTTTTTGATGCATGTTGACAGAAAAGGCTATTAGTGCAGTGGTAATCACTGGCCTGCTGAGGGATTATACTATTTTTCGAAGCCACTGAGGCCTTATGTTGCTCATGCCATTAAGAGCAATTGGCATGCACTCACTCAACAGTTATGAAATCAGCCCTGCAGGAAGTGTTTCATCCTCTTGTGAAGCCTGCATCAGCACCCAACCCACTCAAGGTTACCGTTTCACCAAGAGGATTTGCTCTATTTAAGCATACACCATCAGTCACCTAATCACCTGGAGTACCTCCGCTTTAGACCTGAACTGGACTGTTCCTTTTTGTTCAATTTAATCTGTCTGGCAGTACGTCGGATAGTCAACACTGATCAAATGGTGCGATGTAGGATTAGTTTTAACCCTCTAAGAGATGAAACCAACAAATAGCACAAGTAGGGCATTTTCAGGGGAAAGATTTCCTGACCTGGGATCAGGATAGATGTTGGGCATTAGGTCAGGTCTGTAAGAAGATGGAGAAATGGGATTAAATTGGGACAGCTAGCCGCATGGCGTGATTTGGCTTAGCTGTTTACTATGTACAAATTTGCAGGTCTGTACATGCAAACACTTAGTGTAGCTTCTCTTAAGCCCCCAAACATGATTTTCTATTTGTGTTTTATACAGGGCGTCCCCCAGTAAGTTGTACAAGTCCTGCACATGTTTGGACCAATGAATAGTTTACTGGTTGGCTGTAGATTGGCTACTCGTCTGCTGGTTGAAGTAAACAGAGTGAAAATAGACATGCCCAAATAGCTAAAGAGTGGGCCTGTATATTTAGCCCAGGATATCCAAGACAGTTGTATGTCAGTTGTTTTAAGAACAACATAAATTAACACCTTACCATTTTCTTTATGCACATCACAACTGCATTTATTTGATAAGAAATGCAACTACATATTACAACGACTACACAACTACAACAATATTATTTCAATTTCAGATAACTGTTTTAATATTTTAAAAGGTTCATTTTCAAAGGTTCAAAGTTCAATGTTTAAATTTCTCTGGTCTTCAGTCACACGATCCGTCAGAAATCGTTTCTTCAAACATTTCTTGTTATCAATGTGGATACTTTATTATTATTATTATTATTTTTATTTATTTTTTGATGAATAGAAAGTTGGAAAGAACCGCATTTGTTTCAAAAATCTTTACAATCATTAAAATGAAAATGAAATGAAATGAAAGTAAAATGAAAAAATCATTTTTTTTTTTTTTCATTTTACCATGTTCATGTACGGAGTCTCATGTGAATGTTAACGTCAGCAGGACTCATTAGTGGCATCTAGTTCCTGTAAAAAAAAAAATATATATATATATAAATATAATTTAAAATGTTTGTGATTTTAAAACCAGTACATGGTTAAATATTTGACCTCTTGCTTGAGCAACTTAAAATATAGAAGTAATGCATGGAATTATAGGTCTACGTTGTTGAAGTCAGAAACACCAGTGATTTCAAACTACAGTGATCCAAAGACCTTCTCAGAATCGCAGATTTAAGGATAAAAATACTCCGCAATGGTGTTGACATGAATTTGTGCAGGGTTTGTCTTAAAGCATATTTAAAACACCACATAGACGTATAAACAACATTTAGAAGCTTGATTTTCACCACAGGGGGACTTAAAAATCATGTACACACACGAGATAAAGAGTCCAGTCAAAGTAACTTAATAAAAGCTGTGTTGCTTTACAAAGACCAGTTCGTCTCACGAGTGGCATATTGTTGAGATCACGACCAGCTAAATACTATTTGTTTTGTCTCAGTAACCTATTATCAGACACTTTAGCTTGCAGAAATAAATTACAGCTGCCTGCGAATTGTGATTGAAATGCCCTTTATATGTTTTGTTGACAACCTTCCATGTACAAAAGTGTTCTCATCTGAGGATCGTGTGGGCTGAGTGTGCCATTTGGGATAGGGCTAAGTGCTCATTTTGTCAATTTGAAATTCCAGGGAATTCAGATAATCAGATGTTTTGCTGGTGTTTTTTGTAAACCTTGATCTCAAGGTTATGCTGTATACAGCACATTTTATGAGCATGACTAGAGAGTGACTTGTACCTCAAGATTTTACTTTTCCCATTGAAAGAATGATTCCTCAAACTACAAGAGCATAACAAGAGTTTGGTCATTTTATTCAAGAGCCAAGGTGCAGCTCTATTGATAACCTGGCCAGGTCATGGCACCAAAGCTTTATGGGAAACAACTAGAAAATTCAGTCATTTTGACTCCGCCATCTTGTCTGCCTGTTGATATCTCACCGCACTGACCTCATACTAAGGTCTCCTCTGTTTAGTCAGCCATGGCTAATTTTGTTGGCTAAATGTGGAGCCCTTTATCTGTCAGCACAGATCATTTCAGGCAGCCCAAAATTAGGCCACAGTTGAGACCAGTGCCCTGTGGTGAATGCATCGGGCTCCTAGCGAGTAGCATGTGCGGCACATTAACTAATATCTCAAATGCTTGTTTTAAAGAGAATCCCACATAAAACATTCACAGCTACAAAAGAATAGTTAATGCGTCTTGCAGAATAATTGCCCAATTATTAGATGATGCTTTCATGCAAATTCACTATGTGAAACAGAAGCACTTAAAGGCCTTCTGGGTTCTGCTAATTTGCTCTTTTGTGACTTGAAAACCAATCCATTGGAGAGAGCTGGCATGCAATACTTTTACCCACAGAAAGCTGATAGGATTCACTTTTGTATTGTAAACACAAAGTACTGTGACCATCAAAATGATTATAATCCCCATTATGCAAAGATTAAAGTAGCTTGATTTAATTGTTACCTATTATTGTTGTGCATTGCTGTATTATCATTTTTGTTGTTTTTATCAGATTCAAAGTCTTGTGCATTGCATTTTTGCTGTCCCATCATTCTAACTAATGTAACCTCAAGAATACTATATAGGCCATTTGTGGATGTCAATGTCAATGACATCCTCAGGATGTCAATGACATGTGGTATCTTCTTTTTTTCTCAGTACATTAATGGTGGAAACTTGGAGCAGCTGCTGGACAGCAACAAGTACCTGAGCTGGGCCACACGGGTCAAGCTGGCCTTAGAGATCGCCATGGGCCTCAGTTACCTACACTCCAAGGGCATTTTTCACAGAGATCTCACATCCAAGGTAATCATCACAATACATACACTACAATGCAAAAGTTTGGGGTCCGTAAGATTTTGTCAAATTCTTGAATGCTCACCAAAGCTGCATTTAGTTATTCCTTTAATGGCAAAGCTGAATTTTTAGAAGTCATTGATCCTTCAGAAATCATTCTGTGCTGATTTTCTGCTCAAGAATCATTTCTTAATGGTTTTCTACTTTGATGAAGAGAAAGTTAAAAAGAATAGCATTTATTTGAAATAGAATTATAAGTCTTTGCTGTCACTTTTGATCATTTATAAACAAGACTCTATCAATCAACACTGAAACAGGTGCTTTTAATTTAGTATTCACAGTGCTCTTGTTGGTGGCATGCGCTGACATGCTGTCTCTACCTCCAGGTGTTGTCTTATCTTCTGGGACTTTCCATAATTATACACTGTGGGATAACCCCTGTGGCTTCCTCGCTACATCATTACTTTCTGTTTAAGTGATTCTAATTAACTGAATCTCAAGTGTAAGGTATCCTGTGGGAGGAGCAATGTGATCTTCTAGTTACTGTATCTTTCCTTTTGATGTTCTCTCAGAACTGCCTGATCAAGTCTGACGAGAATGGCCACACTGCGATCGTCGGAGACTTTGGCCTTGCTGAGAAAATCCCCAGTCATGAGTGAGTAACGGGCAACGTGGGTTTCACTCTGCTGCCTGTATGCTAATTATAGCCGCAGCTGCAGCTATGATTAATATGGCTTTCCCTCATATAAAACAGTGGTGGGCATCCTTCTGTTTTGCTCATGGCAATCTGAAAGGAAGCAATAGTGAGACGCAAGCAATGCGGACAGGGGATCTAATTTGGAAAGAACGTACTGTACTTTAGAGAGCGCTAATAATACCAAAGTAGTTCAAGACCCTTTCTTGCCCATGACTTCCTCACCACTTGAAGGAGGAAAATGAAAAAGCTGTTATAAATGTTTCAGCCTCATGTCGTTTCAACTTTCATCACATGAGGGTGATGTTTTAATGAAACCTTATAGGTTTGTGTTCCTTTATTGAAAGTCTACTCAACCAAAATATTGATGCTTCCAAACATTTATAAAGACATGGTAAAGGTAATCCAGATGAAACGAGCTCTTTAATCCACGTTTTCTGAAGAGATACCATCACATTTAATTCAGGATTTTATTCACATAAACATAAATTTACGGACATGCATAGAAACACCAAAAATGCATTAACATGTTTGGGCTTTAGCAAGAACCAATGATGTTTGTTCTTATGTGTCCCGGCTAAATTGTCATCTAATTCATATTACGTAATCATGTTTAAAAAAAAAAAAGTTTCAAAAGTTGAACTAATGTCTTATGGGTTTGGAATAACATGAGTGAGTATGCCCACTTTTTTGGGGGATGCTCAATAAACATACATGGAAGACAGATCTGAAAGCCAAAGTTACATTTAAAGCACTTCTGCTAAAATATTGAATCTTTAAAAATACAATTGAAAAATTAGAAACTAGTCAAAGCTTTTAGAGTAGTCACCACAAAGATCTTCTTGATCCACCACAAAGTATTGCTTTCTAAACTGAACGTTTTAAGGTGCCATTAAAGTCATTGTAATTGCTTAAGTGTCTGTATTTATATAATGTGTGAAAGCATTTTAACATGTCAGCGTTTTGACCAGACCACTATTCTGTGTGTTCAGTTTTGAGGGGGAGAAGCTGTCTGTGGTGGGATCCCCATTTTGGATGGCTCCAGAAGTGTTAAGAGATGAGCCGTATAACGAGAAGGTTAGATTCTCAGCTGCAGTTGACACTCAGCACTTTATTAAAGCTTGTTTCATGCCAGCACCTATCAGGACTCAATCATTTTTCTGTGTTCATTCCTAGGCTGATGTTTTTTCATATGGCATTATTTTGTGCGAGATCATTGCAAGGATACAGGCTGATCCTGATTTCTTACCTCGCACTGAAGTGAGTCCACAGCAGCAATAATTCACTGTTATAAAACATTACAATAAATGTTTTGGAGATAAAATTTGTTTCTAAATGACGCATTTATGCTAGCCATTAAAATCTCTTTGTCCTTAGTATGACCTTTACCCGCTCATGTGCTTGTTGCAGAATTTTGGCCTGGATTACCACGCCTTCCAGCACATGGTTGGAGATTGTCCCCCTGACTTCCTTCAGCTTGCCTTCAACTGTTGCAATGTGAGACTTTCTCTTTAAAAGAATCATTATTGTATTGGTAGTTCTTTGTAGGGTGCAATAATTGATAGTTTTATCATGTAAACTATTGTGCAAAAGTTAAACATTGAAGCATTTTATCAACCCAAAACTTTAGAATGGTAGTGTACATAATGGAATAATATTTCATATAAATGCATCAACAGACATGCAACCACAACATGAAACTGTCCCACTGTAATATCTGTGATGTGCAACATTCTAGAAGCGAGAACATGGAGCTCTTCCAGATTTAGATACTGATGCTTCATGTTCTTGTTGCCTCCACATATATCCCAGATGGATCCAAAGCTCAGGCCCTCATTCCCAGATTTAGTAAAGAGGTTGGAAGAAATCCAGATACAGCTGAAAGCTGATGACTCTGAGAGGGAGAGGATGCTACTAACTGCTGGAGAGGTTGAGAAAAAAAGCATGCCTAAAGGTGCGTGTTTATTCATGCAAACATTTATTTCACTACCGATATTGATTTGACTTACCTTCAAACTTCCGTTATGATCTGGAAAACTGCTGGTGTCCATTCCATATTATTTTATTCACTTTCTGGCTCCAAACTTAAAGCTTTGATGTGCTTTGAACGCATCTTTGATGTGAGTTGCTTTGACAGAGGGCTAGTACATCCTGTCGCCCGCTGAGGCTTTGCTCATACCATCAACACTCTCTTTCCATGTAGTACCTCTGGGCCAATGAGTTCTAAGAACACGGAGACTAGAGAACGAACAGTAACATTGTCTGTCTATGAACTTTATGGATTGGATGTTCTTTCCTTATGGGAATTACTTATAATGCACAGCTTTTTGCTGTGCTTTTCAGTGCATATCCTGAACAAACAAGAAATAATTCACAAAACGGGGCTAGTGAATGGCTAGAAGAGATTAGAGGATCATTAAAAGTTTCAGATAGACTAGCATTCAAAAGTCACAGCTATGATGCATTACATTGATAATTTTCAGTAAGGACATGTTACAAAAATATGTCTTTCAAATCAATGCTTTTATTTTTTTTACTTCGTATTCATGAAGAATCCTGAATGAAATGTATTAAAAAAAAAATAAGCAGCAAAAATATTTAGCAGCATTGATGATAATCAGATATTTTTCTTGAGCAGCAAATCGGTATATTAGAATGGTTTCTGGAGGATCATTTGACCCTGAACAGGGATTTTTTTTCACAGGGATAAATTACTATTTAAAATATATTAAAATTCAAAATGTGTATTTTAAATTGCAATAATTCAAAATTACTGTTTCATTAGTTTTTCCCTTTTCACACCATTCTTTGTAAACCCTAGAAATTGTTGTGCGTGAAAATCCCAGTAACTGAGCAGATTATGAAATACTCAGACCGGCCCGTCTGACACCAACAACCATGCTATGCTCAAAATTGCTTAAATCACCTTTCTTTCCCATTCTGAGATTCAGTTTGGAGTTCAGGAGATTGTCTTGACCAGGACCACACCCCTAAATGCATCAAAGCAACTGCCATTTGATTGGTTGTTTAGATAATTGCATTAATGAGAAATTGAACAAAATTCCTAATAATCCTTTAGGTGATCGTAGATTCAGTCAAATGAACATTAGATATTTTGTCACCCCCTAGTGTTCAAGCTGCAAAAATATTGTTTTTAAACCGGTTGTCTGAAGATTTCTTGCATCTTTCATTGGTTAGCCCCACCTCAAACTCATGCCATTGGTTGAGCCAATGTTGTTGTATCAGACTGGTCATTATGCTTTCACTAAATTTTGATGGTGTTATTAGTGTTTGCACGTGTCAAGGGAATCAATATATGATATATATCAGAATATTAGTTAATCCATTTGGTATCATCATGAACTACCAATGAACACGTTTTTAAAGCATTTATTAATATACACAAACTTACCAACCCCAAACTTTTGAAAGTTTTTTTTTTTAATAATATTTGTTAAAGGTTTTTTTTTTTTTTTTTTTGCTCACCAAGGTTGGATTTATTTGATCAAAAATATAGTAAAATGGTAATATTGTGAAATTTTATATCAATTTAAAATAACTATGCTGATTTAATTTATTCCTGTGAAGGTAAAGCTGAATTTTCAGTAGCCATTACTCCAGTCTTGTCACATGATCATTCAGAAATTATTCTAACATGCTGAACTGCTGCTTAAGAAACATTTCTTACTATTATTTTATTATATATTAATGTTGAAAAACTGTCTTGTTGCTTAAAGATATACTATGTAACTTTACGATCGTGTGGGTGAATATGGCTACCCTACTGCTCGGTAAACATTAACTACTAGGGTTAATAACAAGTTTAGATAGAAAGGATCTCAAGCTGTCTAGCTGAAGAAGTTACTGTAGCTATACCCATTAATAGATATGGTACTTCCTTAAATTCCAGCACAGCACCACAACAAACAATGAAATGACCCTGCACAATAGATAATGCTTTACAATGAACTCTGCTAGAGAACTACATATGGTCATTTATATGTTCAATAAAATACATTACTCACCTTTGAGTAATGAACGTCATCTCCACATCTCTTTTTACAACATTTCAAATCCCTATTCGCACCTTCTCCGAAAAGCCAAGCAAATGTTGATTCACATTTTATTATGAGCTCTGTCGCATTCTCTTTTTGAAGGCAGAAGCTCCTTTATCAGGTTATATATATATATATATATAAACAGGATGTGGACCTGGAGGTTTTTCTCCAAGAGACCTTTCTCTCTCGTTGTGACAACTAACCAATGCCACTCCCACATTCGGGGCAACTTTTCTCTATTTACGGATTTAACAAGACAAGCACAGGCGATTGACACAAGTACGCAATTTTGTGCGAAAAGCATCACGCTTGGTCTTAAATATAAACGCTTATAATGGGCTTAAAATAGTGAATCAGGGTAAGACAAAAACACGTTTTGGAAGAAAGATTGATGGTGTATTGATTTCAGGATTCTTTGATTAGTACGTTTAAATGAATACTAATTATTTGAAGTGGAAATTCTTTTGTAAAAAATAAGTGTCTTTACTGTCAATGTAAATGGATCCCTGCTGCAAAGTATTAACAACTTCTTTAAAAAAAAAAATCTTAATGTCTCCAAATATTTTTATGGTAGTGAAAGTTAATCAAAATATTAAAATGTATCGGTATACATAGAACTGGCTATTAACAATGAACAATACTTTTACAACAATTATTTTTCTCACTCTAATGTTAACATATGGAAACTCACTGTAAAGTGTTATCATAGAAACGCTCTAATGTGGTCCCCACCTCTCTTGTTGTTGTTCTAGGTCCAGGTGAAAAGGGTATAAAGAGGTTAAATCCTCTTAGTTTTCAGGATGACAAGATTCCACCCAAGTCCCCCCGTCCACGACGCAACATCTGGCTTTCCCGTAGCCAGTCCGACATTTTCTCTCGTAAACCCGCCCGCAAAGTGAACGTTCAGGACCCTTACTACAACCCAGGACCTAGGGGCTTAGCACATGGGCTACCGAAAGTCAACCCTTTCAGTGCCAGAGAGGACTTAAAAGGTGGCAAGATCAAGTTTTACGACGTGCCCAGCAAGTCGGTCTTTTCGCTCATGTTTGATTTGCACGCACCTCACGGCAGTCAAACCTCATACCAGCCTCAAGCCAACATCAGCACTGGTGCTTCTGGCAACAACTGCTCCATCTCCTGGACGGAGCCCTGGCAGCTGCCCGGTCGGCAGTGCCGTTCGCTCCCCGTCTCTCCCCGGCTGCCCCACTCGGAAGTCTTATTCTCATCTCACCCAACGTCCAGGAGCGAGGCCGGACAGCCCAAAACGCTGAGCAGCTGGGCTAAGAAGTACGCTGTAACAGAGATCCCTCAGTACAAGCTGCAAGCCGACAAAGAGGAGGAAGTGGGAGTGGCAGAGGACTGGTCTTGTGTACCCTCTGACGGAGGAGAAGCAGAGGCCATGGACTGCTCTAGTAGCAGAGGTAGTAGCAGAGGAAGCCCTGCGGATGATAAGGACACAGTCCTCAGCCAGATGCACAACGGAAGTCTCGGTGGCTTCTGCGAGGACATGGAGGCTGAAGAACAGGATGGCATGATTATCTCCAACAAGAACTCACTCACGCTAAGCATGTCTGTGGAGCCGGAGGAACTCTGCCCGATAGTCCTCACAGCCTGCAAAGCCTCGTCTTCTGGAGGCCACATCTCCAGATGTGATATCTAAATGGTGTAGAAAGGAGTTTGGTCACGCAAACAGAGATTATATTTAATCCGATTATTCGTTGTTAATGTTGTTCCTTTAAGGGAAGGAAACCCTTGTAACTTAAGCTAAAAAAGGGCGGCTTGGACTGAACATGGGAGCAGGAAACCGAGGTGTAAAAGACTGATCTGATCCATGCGTTAGAAGTTAGCCATCACACTATGAAGAACTCTAACTGGGAGATACAATGGACGGCACTTCACACAGGGCTAATGATGTGACACGTTCTGTTTCTGTATTATACATGCTATTGGTTGCACCACATTAGTTACCACACAAGCGTTTTTGTTTTTTAAAGTTTGTCCACAAACTGTATCCAATGTATATTTAAGTGAGCAGCTTTGGCCATTACTATGTGGTTTTTTTTTTTTTTTTTTTCATAAGTTAATGAAAGGTGATTTTGAGTCTTTTTGCACTGTGTGGGCCTGGCAAACAAAATCTGCAGCAAACATTCCATGTCATCTCTCATCTTAAAAAGTTCCTGTTTTTATCTTATGCTAACGCTGTGTTCCATGGTAATTTCAGGACACAGACAATTTTCACACTTTGACCTCTCAGGTCTTCAAAAAAAAAAAAAAAAAGTCCATGTCTGCGTCTACTTAAAATCGTAATTGCACTTGAAATAAATTAATGGTTTGAACTTTTTTATTATCTGTTATTTGTCACTACATTTCTATGCAATAAATTTAACCAAGGCATGATAGTTTTATAGAGAGGATTTATTTTGATATTTATAAGGAAGAAAATATTTTACCGTCTTCATTGTCTGTGAACTGTTTAAATTGTGTTTGTTGTTGTTTATATGATCTGATGAATAGAGTTCTGTACATGTTGAAAATGGTCAGTTCTTGCTAGTTTATTCTTAACTATTTTTCTGCTTTCTCAGTCCTGACTGTTTTCTCAACAATTTTAGATTGTAGATTTGTAAATGAATGAGAAAGAGATGTATATTTCTACCAAAGACAGATCAGGACTTATTTTCCCCATTTATATGGCTTTGTTTAAATGCATGTGTGTATTCCCATTTGTTTAAAATAAATTAAAAATGTCATTGATTTTTATTGTGGCTTTGCTTAATGTACTATTGTTAATCATCCATACTTTAATGGCTCGTTAATTCCTTAAATCGAGTCTAGCACACTTTTATAAATAGTTTAAATGTACACTAAATCAGAAAACAGACATAAGGACAGGAAACCATAGGAAAGCTTAGACTTTATTTGTCCAAAATTGTACACTGAAATCTCAAAAATCAGAAATTTCCTTCAGCTTTTACAGCAGTGCTTTTCCCCCCAGACGTAGTCCATCTTGTGCACATGAGCCTTTGAAGACTTTGAGAAGGTGCTTTTGGCTATATGTAGAGGAACAGACTTGCCACTGAGGAACAGTTTATTGAGACATGTGGGAACAAGAGGAGCAGCGCTGGATTCTTGTGTGTTTTTTGTCAGACTTCTGGCATAAGCAAAAATATACCCAGTCATGAAAGCGTCAAATCCTGCTCGGTGAGTACCTCCTTCAACTTTCTTCTCTTTTGGTCTATCAGGGGCTTCAACAGGTGCTTCTGGCTGAGATTCCTCATTTCCATTCTTGCTGGCTGTTTCCCCAGGTTCAAACGCATGCGTAGCGTCTGTTGGCTCATCTCTCGCAGTCTTCTCCTGATGTTCAGACATGGGCACTGCCTGGTCCAGCTCAGCTTCTTCAAAGTGCGATCTTTTCCCTTGTGGGGAACTGCATGACTCGGAGGCCCCTTTAGAATCTTTCTTTTTGTTCTTGCGCTTCCTCTTCTTCCTCTTGTCTTCTTTGATCTTCTCATCATGCTGGATTATAAGGTCTGTGTCATGTGACATTGTGCACTGAGAGCCATTAGGACACCATCCGTAAGCCTAGTAGCAGAACAGAAAACATAAGCAATTTCATATAAAATTTCAGGAATATGATGATGGAGGTGAGTTTAAGTGAAACTGCTCATTATTTTAAATGTCTGTCTTCAAAATAAATAATACCCTCAGTGTTTAAAGGAATACTCCACTTTTTTTTTTTTTTTTTTTTTTTTGGAAATAGGTTCATTTTACAACTCCCTCAGAGTTAAACAGTTGAGTTTTACCGTTTTCGAATCAATTCAGCCGATTTTCTGATATTTAGAAGAATATCAGTAACCAGACTGTTTCTGGTCTCATTGACTTCCATAGTAGGAAAAATACATACTATGGTATTCATTATTCTTTAAAAAGAAATAGCAGTTATATAAACCATTTATTTTAGTCACTTTTGATCAATTTAATGCTGAAAAAAAAAAGAATTAATTTCTTTCAAATAAAAAAAGCGGTAGTATATAACCCCAATGAATTTGAGGAACTCACAGAGAACTGAACACAGATGTTGAGGGCATCATCCTGATTCTGGTTGTCCAAGCAAGGCCTGTAGTCGACGTAGCTCTCCATGTTGCCTGTATATTTACAAAACTCTAGGAACACACGACTCCCATTACCGCCACCTTCAATGTCTCTGCTATTTTGCAGCTTACTGTGGGAAAAAAAAAGAAAAACTTAAAGCTTAGGTACTGACAGACATGTACATTTTTTTACTCTTGGCATATTATTGAGGTATTATACATACCACTTCTTATAGGCATATTCCAGGTATGAGGCTGTAAACCGCAGCTCATACTCTGTTGCATACTTAGTGTCATAGATGCCTGCGGGAAACATCTGGGACAGATCGGCAGTGAAGGTGCCCAGTCGATCAGGTAAATGGGCATAGAAGCACTGGTACAAGAAGACCATGTCTATTAGCCCATTATGGACCACCAAGGGCTTGTTGGTCCGCAGCAGTTCTATGAACAAGGTCCGCATGTTTATCCCATGGATATCACCTCCCTAAAATAAGCCAAAAACACATCTACTAAGTCTCTAAACCTGAAATATCTACATCTTGATGGAACATTCTATCTTACAACTTCATACTCACTTTATCATTACCCTTATAATAAGAAATGCCTTCAGCATATTGTTTGTTGAAGTCAAATCCATGTTGCACAAGGAACTTCACTGACTGAGGTTCAATAATGTAATCCTCTGAGCAAAGCAAGGTTAGATTGTAAATCTGGACCAGGTATGTGCTGTCAGCCTAGAAACAGGAAAAGCACAAGAAACAATACAATGTCCGTTTACATATTCAATGGGAAATATATGTTAATCAAAGATCCTTACTTTGGTGTCAAGCTCTTTATAACAAGCAAACCCCAATGAAAGTATTGAACGTGTGCGGGCAGCATGGCATATGGCTTTGTATCTTTCTTCAATGCATCTTTAAAGGCAAAAAAACAAAAACATTACCACTTTCGTTTACGCTACTGGATATTAATAATTAAATCACATAACATACTCAGCCAGAAGAGCTTTCCTTGATCCAAGACCACTCAGTTCCTAAAAAAGACCACATACATCAATCATCTTGTTCCATTCTATTATTAAACATGAATTTTCTCATTCGGTTCTGTTTCTCAATAGAGAATGTGTTTCATCTCACCAAATCAATGGCGATGAATGAAGATGTTTTAATGGCCAATACCATTGCTGCCCATAACTCCGTAAAATTGTTTCCCTGCACATCTATTACAGGGACTATCATGGAGGATGACATTTTCAGTGCACTGGATAAAATAACCAATACCACACATCCGCTGAAGACAGAGATTTTCTTAATGCTCTTTACAAACGTCACCGTTGTTACATATTTACGTAAAACACATTTATGATTTCGTCAAAGCAGATAATGTAGACGTGCTTAAAAAGTCATTTTGGAGTGTAACAAAACATAATCGAATGTATCTGTATAATGCACCTGGTACAATTATAATAATTACTTGGCTTTGGCGTTTCTCGGACTGTTCCAAATTGTATTACTCTAAACGTCAAAGTCAAATGTGTGTTCCTATAACTTTGATAAATTTAATCGCCTGTCTAACATGCGGTAACACGTGAGTGCGTCTATTTTCTTTCCGGTTGGAGTTTCTTCTACGTTTTATGGCGGATGGCGTAATATGCGTGTCCACCACCTACTGGACCGGAGTGTGAAGCATTAATCTTTGAATTAAAATAAATAAAATCAAGTATATTTATACTATTAATCACTTAAAAACAGTTTAGTAAAAAATAACGGAAAGTTTAATATATATATATATATATATATATATATATATATATATATATATATATATATATATATATATATTTGGAATTACTGTAAATCCTTGAGAATTTCCAAAAAGTGTAAGATGATTTAGTTCATTGAAGAAAATCGTAAAGTATCAGTTGACCCTCATACATAAGCTATTAGTAACTTTATTTTATTTATTTATTTTATATTATTATTACATTTTTCTCCTTTAATAAATGTTTAAAGATTTTACATTTATATAATAGCTCAAATGTTATCTTTTTTGTTTTCTTTTTGTTCGTTATCTCGCATTCTCTTAACTGTTAAATGATTCATAAAAACTATTTACATTATGTGCATTTAAATGTGAACTAATTTCATACAGGCAAAACTAAAGTCAACTCTCACATTATGCGTCAGCAAGTCGCCTACCGGCGCCATTTTGGCTCAAACAAACTCTGCATTTCACTTACTAGTAAAATATATTCGCAAGTTATCACATTTTCTACTCAATACATTAAAGAGACCGCCCGTAAAGTAATTGCTTACGTCTGCTAAAACAACTGCTATCTCTTTTTTCTGACGTCTAACGTATATTTAATAATACACCTGCGAAGTCCTCTGCTAGCAGACCGATACGTGTCATTGTTGTTTTGGCCAGATGGTAAGTTAAACGTTTGGCGACAAAAATAAAAATGGGTGGATGCTCCGCTCCAAACTGCTCGAACTCTACAACTATTGGAAAGCAGCTCTTTCGCTTTCCGAAAGACCCCGTGCGCATGAGAAAGTGGCTTGTGAACTGTCGGCGTGATTTTGTACCAACTCCCTGCTCCAGACTGTGCCAGGCAAGTGAAACGCATGAGAGTATTAAATTCTGCAGAAGAAAACAATGAAGCCATTCTTCTGGTGTCCTCTTGGTGTAACTATATATCTATATTCTTGCCATAAAGCTTTATTTCCGTGACAGGACCACTTTGAGGAAAGCCAGTTTGAGGAGATCGCCAGATCACCAGCAGGGGGAAGGAAACTCAAACCAAACGCAATCCCCACACTGTTCAATGTACCCGACCCTCCCTCTCCTGTCAACCCTCAAGTAGCGTTACCTGTTAAAAATGAGCCAGGTAAAGTTTTTTGTATGGAGTCCCTAAGTACACAAGATGAAAAAAAAAAATAGCTATATGTTTCAGTACTATTGTGTAATAACATTTTTGTACTTACAACTTGAATTGCGTTTCCCAGAGAAACTTGCATTCACCCTCAAAACTTCTGTTCTCTAGCTAAAGTCTTGCATTTCCCTGAGAAACTTTGCATTTGATGACAACACATTTGCTTTCTTTTGCAAAAGTATTCCGTTCCCCCAAGATACTTTACTTTCACTCGTAAAACTTTTGCGTTTTACACAATGTATGTTGTTATTGTAGTGGAAAAAGACTTGAACATGGGGGATCATGGTTATGCCCGCCGACAGCCCCCTGTGGATTCAGAGGAGGATGGAGTTCAGGGGGCAGAGGAAGAGCGACCCTGTTCTCTCTGTCAGCATTATAAAAGCAAGCTAGAGCAGCAACAGCAGCACACAGTCCGACTACAGAGAGAGGTAACATTTATTCTTCTGAATCTTAAGAACGAATCATAATCGTTTGAAAACACTGACAACATTTTGTCATTTCTTTTGTTTTTTTACACAGGCAGAGGAGATGAAGAAGCGTCTTTACAAACTGAGTAAAATAGAAAAGGGGCTGCAGGTGTTCCTGTTCGAGGATCAGATTCGCGCCCTAACATTAGCCAAGCGTTCTCGGAGGGCAGTGTGGTCCCATGACACTTTACTGACCGCCCGAAAAATTCGCTGTGCGGTAGGGGTTAAAGGATACGAGTACCTTAGGGAACTTGGCTACCCCCTGCCTTCTTACAGGACGCTGTGCAATCGCCTGGAGCCTAAAATGATGGTGACCACAAGTATGCAGGACGAACTGGCAGAGCTCGGCTTGGGCATCATAACGGCGTGTGACAGTCCAGAGGGCAATGTTACGAGCGATGAAGGACTAATTGGTGTCATGACCTGAAACTGTACTAATGACTGTTGACTGTTAAACCAGCCAAAGGCGAAGCAACTGCAGGACTCACTGATGATGTTTGTTTACTGGTTCAAGTTATTTTGGGTTGTTGTTGTTGTTGTTGCATTTTAAAACCATTTGCATAAATACCACAACAGTCTGGAGCTGACTCAATATTACGTATGTTATTTTCTCTAAGAAAGAAATAATTCGGTCTTGCTGCATCTGTCTGTGTAGTTGCACTCCCTTGATGCAAATTTTGCACCTTTTATGTGTATTGAGGAAATGTAGGTAAAAAATGTCGGTGGAATAATTTCAGCTGTTTACAGAATCTTGAAATGTGCCCTGAAATCCAAATGTTATTTTTGCCACTGAGACAAAGATATTGGAGAAGATTTGGAGAAATGTCACAATTGATATGAAATTGGTATATTGGTTGTGGTGTTATGTTGAGGTGGTGTAAATCTGGTAGATGATGTGTAGTGAAGGAGTTTAGCCGCTAAAAAGATTGCACATATTTCTAGACCCACCACACAAATGATTCATGCAGCTGCCAAACTGAAAGTACTGTTCTAAATAATAAACTTCTGTCTGCAAACCAGAGTTTCTGGTTTTATCATATTCATTTAGTCAGAAACAGCTTTGTGATGGGTCACTTGTCTTGACAATAGATCAACTGTGTGTCTTAAAGGGATAGTTCACCCACTAGTATACATTTTTGTATTGACTCACCCTCCTGTTTCAAACCTGTATGGGTTTTCTTATGCTGAACCCAAAATAAGAAATGTTGAAAAATGTTGGTTACCAAACAGTTTCGGTTCCCATTGACATCCAGTTTATGACATTGCTGAAAGTATCTGATTTTGTGTTCCATAAAACAGTCACAGGTTTGAATGAGAATCTTTTTTATTTTTTCGGTGGACTATCCCTTTAAGTAAGTGTTCTACTGAGAAATTCGCAGAGCGCATATTATTAGGGATATTTGAGGAACATATAGGGTTTAAAGCACTTTAAATAATACAACAATGATTAAAAACGGATATTAAGTATTAGGTGTGTTAACATTTTTTTGTTGTTGTTGTTTTTGTGTGTTTGTTTGTGCTCCTTTCTGTACAGATATTTGAAATGTGTACTGAAGGTTGTTGCTCCATGGATTAAAGTGTGTACTTTGTCCCAATCATTTCAAGGATGAAACACTGCTGTTTGCAAAACTAAAATCAATTCATGTCCATGAGATGGTGAAAGATCTTTCAAGAAACCTTATATGGTGTCAATTTCAGATTGTTTACTTTTGTGTACATACAGCAAAGCCAGACATTATAACAAGACAAGTATATTCTCATAATTTTGAATAATATTCTTACAATAACAGTAAATTTACAGACATGCACATGTTTTTCACATGATGTGATCACTGAGTGTTTAGATCAAGCAAACAGTGGCACAAACTGGCAAAATCGCAAAAACAACACTCATGAACTGGGGCCGGTTGCATAAACATAGTCATTATGTGCGACCCACTGGCAGTTAGTCAGGGGCAGTCAGTCTAAGTTTTCGGTAACTTAGACTCATCTATGTTTTTATGTAACTGATTTTAAAAAGCTATGAAGAGTTTATTAAAGAAAAAAAAATATGTCTGACTTGTCTTATAGGTTTATCCAACCGGCCCCTTGCCCTAAGACTTTAAGACGCTCCAGTATTTGCTTTTCAATTCAAATCTTTCCTTATGTCAACTAAATTATCCAAGCGATCAGTCAAAGTATTGCATCAGTGTTAAAATGGCTTTTGGACACTTAAGATGTATACATTCAAAGGGGAAAAAAACACACATGACTGATCCAAGAGTATATAGCATGATTTCAAACTTTCCTTAATTATGTTTTGCAAAAGCACACAGATGTAATGTTTTATCAACTGATGTTATATATTATTCACCTATGGTAACATATGACACAAAATTTGTTCTATATAAAACTGCAGATGTCACAAAAAATGTTGTTTAGTGTGTTATCAGCTAGTGTATTTGTCTTGGATCACCCACACACATGAACAAAAACTTTGTTGCACACCAGTCCCCAATCACCTCTGTTCTGTTTGTTGAGGGGGAGGGTTTGTCCAGAAGAGAACTTTAAAAGTGTGGACAGTCAACCTTTCCTCATTTCTGTATTTTTGACTGGAAGAGCCCAAGGGACAGAGCTTCAGGTTTGTGCAACTCCATGTCCTCCTGCCAGTTGCTTTTTTGAATATGGGGTAAAATAAAGATGTCAAACTAATGACACATAAAAGTATTAGGCAATTTGAGGTTATTAGCCTACTTTGAGGAAGTGATAATTGTTTTTGTTTGTATCTTTTGCAGCGGGTGGCGTGCAGCGCGGGCGTGATGCAGGCTCTCTGGGCTCTGTGGTTGTCTGCTTTTCCAGCTCTTCTAGGAGCTTCACCACTGTTTGTGGAGAAAGAAAGCACTGGCTCCAGAATCTGTAAACCTGCCCCACAGTGGGAGATCGATAGCAAGGCTCCGATGAAAGACCTTCTGGGAAATGTAGTCGTTGTGGCTCTTCTTAAAGCGAGCTGACACTTCTGTCTCACGCAGGCTGCCAGGTGAGAGTTCTTGCGCTGTGTGACAATTTCTCATTCTATAAAGCGATGTCTTTAAGTTAGAGATGTTGATTTTTAAAGATTTTTTTTTTTAGGCAAATTTCAAACAAACAAGGTAAAAAAAAAAAAAGACCCATAGATATTTAGACACTTTTTAATTGTTTACTAAATCAGTCTGTTCACTAAATGTAACAAATAGCCTACAGAAACATAAGATAGGCTACAGTAATAAAATGTGACTTTTAATGCTTCATTCTGAAAAAGGATGATGATGCAATTATTACAGTTCTATAATTTATCAGTTTTATCTTTAGGCTATCTTTTTTAATGGAATATATGGCTATACAATAAATGAAAATTCAAAATAAAGCTATGAGAATTTTTATTATTATTTTTATAAAAAATAATTCAAACTTATGTTTCACGCAAATCTATGTAAGCAGTAGCCTACAACCGTCAGCCGTTTTGTTGACTGACCTTCCTCATTTAAAGGGACAGATTTTTTTTTTTTTTTTTTTTTTTTTTTTTGTAAACAACAGAAATATAAATCTTGGTAAATTGCTCAGTCAACTGAATCCTTGCTTGTGCTCTCTTCCTTTTGGTTGGGAAGGTTGGGAGACCTGCGTGATAAGCTGGTCCATGGCAAGCTGACTAACATATCATTCCTGATCATCAATGAGCAGGATGCACAGTCCAGAGCCATGTACTGGGAGCTGAAGAGGAGGACGGCACTAGGCATCCCTGTGTACCAGCAGAGCCCGCTGCAAAACAATGTCTGGGAGCTCTTGGAGGGAGACAAGGATGATTTCTTAGTGTATGACAGGTATAAACACTTCTGAATCCAGTACACACTGAGGGTCACATGGCTCTTTTAGTATCCATATGCAAATTCACCAGAGGAATGAGCATCTGAGATATTTGTCTCAAGTATTCTTTACATATGTTGTTAATATTCAATATTCTGTATTTATTTTCTGCACAGATGTGGATATCTCACCTTCCACATTGTCCTGCCCTTCAGCTTTCTTCACTATCCTTACATAGAAGCAGCCATCAGAGCTACATACCACAAAAATATATGCAACTGCTCAGTGAGTGACAATATTCAACAATATACAGCTCCAGAAAGTTCCATATTTATGAAATGTTTGCAAACTCTCTTTCAGCTAAATGCCAACTTCTCCATATCAGAAGGCTCTGACAACCCCCCAAAAAATGCAGGCGAGTTCACAGGAGAGAACAACCAGCAGGCTAACAATACAGAGCCTGTAACTGTCCAGCATCATCATCATCATCAACATGAGCATCATCATCAACATGAACATCATCATCACCATCATTATTCAAATAACAGAAATAGAACGGGTTATTCAGATGTGGCCAGCATACCAAAAGAGCCAACCCAGCATTCTCATCATGAACCTGGACATAGTCATTAAAACAGATTTCTTTTTTTTTTCCAATAGCCTAATTGTTGAATTTTGTTGTAAATATAGAGCTGCTCTTGTGTCAGACCTTTATATTATTGACCTTAAAGGATGATTTTAGTTGAATCTCATTGTTCTTAATGAAGTGTGCACTTTAAACCTGAGTCAGGGTTCTGCATACAGATGTTGAGCAAAGGAGTCATTCACACTATATCTGTTCTCCTCGTTAATTTTAAGGAATATCTGACATTGCTAAACTAAAGAGTTTTCTTTGTTTATTGAGTTAACTGCTTTGTATTTGTTAATATATTATCTATAAGATATGTAATGGGAATGTGTTTGAGTGGTGTAAGACTATAAAATATAAAATTAGTTTGCATCAGCATATACTCCTGAGACCCAGCAATGAAGTTTTTTCCTCTGCAGAGGTTTCTTTGAGACCTTATAAGACACAGTTTTAAGAATGTTCTGTAAAGAGCACATTCTGGGCTTAACACTGTACGTAATTCATCCTTTAGTTAAATTATTTATGTAGCCAACTTAAGAATATAGGCTAATTTGCAGGTTGCCACTTTACAGAATGAATTAAAAACAATATTAAGCTATGTCTAAACACAAAATTGTGAAATGGTTAAGGCACTCTGCTCAAAATAGCTGATGGTATCTCTGTTAAAGAATAAAGTCATCCAGGGGATTTTGCTAATCCGTCTTGGGGAGGAGGATGCCATGTGTAAACTCCTTAACTCATCCATGAGCCTCTGATTTATGCTGAACGAGAGCTCTGTGTCGTAATTCCGTTGACAACATGTTCTCTCTCTCTCTCGTGTAACTTAAATTGCGATCATAATTGACATTTTACTCCTGAAGTTAGCTACTCCCAGCAACGAACTGTCGCGCTGTTCCTAAAGGCAACCGATAGATGGCGATGTTTAGGCATTACTGAATGAACGTCAAGCGCAATGGTAAGCCGTTTGCTCTTATTTCGTTAATATAGCCTACCATTTCTCGGATAGGCCTATTGGTAAAGTGACTACAATTATTTAAAGTTTGGTTTCGGTTGGTATGTTTTTTTTTTATTACAATATGACTATACATTAACAGACACGTCTCATCTCCATTATTAATTGCTCAGGTGTCCGTATCGCCGTCGACATGGCAAAGGCTCCAGATACTTTACCAATGGGTCCTAGAAAACGGAGGTATTTTTCAAGGAATTACATGTCCATTCTTTTACTTTAAATATGCTCTTAATTATTTTCATACACAGGCTAAATTGTAGGCTACAACAGTTATGTTTTACTTAGCTACACAGTTACATGACACCAGTGTAGCCTACATTTGACTAATTGGTCCTGACGAAACCAGTATTAAAAAAAAAAATCTAAACTACTTTAACCACTATATTAGGAAGTTTAACGTGCTAATTATGCATTTCGTTCTTTAATTTCCAGACAAGAGGACAGATGGATGGCTATTAGTTTATTCTCCCATGCCTGTCTGTGGCATATTCCTCTGTTACCTTGTCATCATCTGGCTTGGCCCCAAACTGATGACTCACAGAGAACCAGTCAACATCAAGGCTATTCTTATTATTTACAATTTTTCCATGGTGTGCCTTTCTGCTTACATGTTTTATGAGGTATGCGCTTGTGAACTAAACACAGTCTATAGAACTAACATATTTCCTATTCATTTATGAAGTCTCATTCATATTAACTTATTAATTCATAAATACATTCATATGTATTTATGTGTGTATAGCCTAAGTATGCATGTTTGATTTGCTTTTAGTTCACAGCATCATCTTGGTTGGCAAATTACAGCTTGCTGTGTCAGCCTGTGGACTACTCTGAAAACCCCCTTGCAATGCGGGTAAGCAAATTATTTTTATACAAATAATTTGCATTTTTCTACACATCTGCAATTGTGGAATAAGAATTACCATAATTAATAGTCATTGCCTTCCTTAACGCTGTGCGATTTTGATCCCATGCAGATGGCCAGAGTGTGCTGGTGGTTTTACTTCTCAAAAGTCATTGAACTTACTGATACTGTAAGTAAATTATCTAGTCCTTTGATATCAGATCACATTGTTAATGAATGTCTTATGATGATGTTTTATTACATTAAGAAGTAAATGTCATTATCATCAGATGTTCTTCATTCTGAGGAAGAAGAACAATCAACTGACCTTTCTACATGTGTATCATCACGGCACCATGATTTTCAACTGGTGGGCCGGGGTCAAGTATGTTGCGGGAGGGCAGTGTAAGTGTTCTTACCTTGGAGTAAAATAAATGATTGTGTTTACATACAGCAGTCCACTCAACAATGTCATACTCTCAAACAAGACAATATACATGTTGTGTATACAGGTTGTGTTTAGTTTTTGAATAGAGGTGAATTTGAGTCTTTAATCAGATTAAAAACTAAATATTAGATTGCATTATTGCACAGCTCAAACAGTCTGAGACAACATTTAAAATATAATTTAAACCTTGAAATAAACCTGTACAGAAGCTTCTGACGCATAAGATGCTGATTGGATCATCTCAAACCATGCTGGAGAACATGATCTTGGTGTTCATTGAAGCAAATTCTGAAATTCATGTTAATTTTCACTCATTAGATTTTAAGGGCAAACAAACTTGTTAATTTGTAATAAAGACAGTAGCAGCATTTTTACTAGTGATCTGCTTTTGGACACCGCTGTATTAAGAAATGATTCAGCTCTTAATCGGACATCTATTGGGTTTGATTTAGTTGCAGTGTCACTCTGACACCACTAGGTGATATATTGCTCCAGAAATAGACGATGAAAGTATTCTGAAACGTGAGTGGTATTGTCTTGATGTTAGGCAACTGATGAAATGACAAATACGGATGATTGCTATTGCTTCAGGGTGACAAGGCAGAGCATGATTTGCTAAAGATGTTCTCTCTTCCTCAGCATTCCTTATTGGCCTCATAAACTCTCTTGTGCATGTGGTGATGTATATGTACTATGGCCTGGCAGCACTGGGCCCACAGATGCAGAAATACTTATGGTGGAAACGCTACCTCACTTCCCTCCAACTGGTGAGACTCTCATTATGATTTTTTTTTTAAGGAATAATGCTTTAATATGAAGGATCTGTCACTTTTGTGTCTCTGTCTTTCTTTGTCCTCAGCTCCAGTTCTTTATTGTGACTATTCACACTGCGTTCAACCTCTATGCTGACTGTGACTTCCCTGACTCCATGAATATGGTGGTGTTCGGCTACGCCCTCAGCCTAATCGCTTTGTTCAGTAACTTTTATTATCAGAGCTATCTTTCCAAGAAGACAAAGATAACATGATTGCGTGGAGATGGGATGTATACGTTGATTGTTTGAATAAAAATGTATCATCAGACTGAATGTGGCGACTGTATCTGTCTTTAGGACAGTTTAATCCTTCCTTTATCTCAGATCCATTTGTCTGTATATTCTCCCCTCCTCCAAAACTAGTCTATACAATCTCTACACCCCCATCCCCCTCTGGTCATTAGGGATTGAGACCCTGCAACGCTCTAGTGATCTGGCCAAATTGAAATAAACCCGAGTCCACCTTCTGCTCCTCACTCACTTATTTATCTAATCTCCCACTGTGACACTTCATTTGTTTTAGCACTCATTGGTTCAGGTCAACCAATCACAGTGTAGCTGGGGGGAGTGTCTTATTTAGGACCATGCCTTCTCTACTCCTGCCCTCTTCTACCTTATCTTCAGCCTATGCCTTTTTAAATATATGTTACCTCTAAAAGGCACAGACATTAATATTTGTATTAAGATATAAGATGCAATATATATCTTTATATATTTTATTATGGTTTAAATAATGAATCAGTGTCACTTTAAATTGATTTGGCCACAGGGTTTGGGTTTGCAAGTTAAATGCAAGTTAAATATCTTTGAATTTTTAAATATTTACATTTAAATCAAATTGTAATTATGCATTGTATTTGCTATCTCAGTTCAAATGTATGAATTTAATTGGAATTTAAAGGGCATTCTCAAATGAATTCTGAATGGTGCACAAGATTGCTTATTGCAGTGGAAAGAATTGATGGTAGTGAAAAGATTTCTCCTGAAAAATTGTTCCTGCCAGCTCTGAATAGCATGTAGGTCTACTCCAAAAATACTGGGCTGCACCCTGTCACCTGAGTGGCATGTGTCAAAAGTGAAAATGTCCTTTCACTGCAGGGGAAGATAATGGCATGGAATTGCCGACTATTTTGCACTAGAACATTCTACTCCTGAGTAAAATTAGATATTATCTAAAATTGCAGTGTAATAGATGGGTGGATAGATAGATATTCAGTAATATTGTCAATATATTTTTGCAGGCATTTGGGCCTCAGGAACAGTTTTACTGTAATGCAGTTTGAGGATTTCATTGCAACTGCATGAATATGTGAGAGCTCTCGCTTGTCTCTCATTCATATAAAAGCAGCACAAGCTTTACTCCAACATGTCAGTCATCTGACAGAATGTGCCCAGGTTGCATTTCACCTGTTAAGGTTTAAGTTCCCCACAGTGCCATCAATTTGATGTAAAATGGCCACTCTTCATGCATTCCATAGGCCGGTGAACAGACAGTTCTCAGGGTGCACCTCTAAATGTCACTTTCCCTGCAAGATGCTAGAAGGCGGCCATCCTTTAATGTTGCTGTCACTTTAAGCCGCATCCATTCTTTCCTCTGCCTTTCTTTGTTAAGGCATATAAAGAGCAAAAAGCATATGTCTTTCATGCCGGCTGACAGAAATATAAGTGCCTGAAGATGAATCTATTCACTTTCATAAATTGTCTTTTGTTTTCCATTTGACATTCACACGTTTTTTTCTTCCAGAATTTTTCTGCTTCAGGAGCAGCACAGGATGGCAGAGGAAGATGGTAATTGTAGTTTTAACGTATTAACTTGTTAGCGCCTTAATTTTTATAGGAAGTAACAGTTTCGAAATTCACATGGATGGATGGATGGATGGATGGATGGATGGATGGATGGATGGATGGATGGATGGATGGATGGATGGATGGATGGATAGATAGATAGATAGATAGATAGATAGATAGATAGATAGATAGATAGATAGATAGATAGATAGATAGATAGATAGATAGATAGATAGATAGATAGATAGATAGATAGATAGAAATGTGTATTTAGTTGATATAATTCAGTGTATTTATTGAAGAACACTCCATTTCCAAATATGCATCACCTGTGTTGAATTTCTTTAAAGTAAATTCCTCTTCCAATTCAACTTCCTGAGGTTTCAGTCATTAAGTGAAACGTAGCTAGTTCGATTCATATTTTGCAGTTCTCGTGTGTAATTTCTGTTGTTAAACAAAATGTGAACTTCATCAAATAAAATTAACCAAGGACCTTATTTTACTGATGAGTCTAACTGCTACAGTGTGTTCTTATATATAATTAATTGTAGCAAGGTTTTAGGGCTACAAGCTGAACCCCTCCATTATAAACCGCAGTGTTTTCCCATGCAGCGAACTTTTAATGTGGCTAAGAGGGGCTAAGACCTCCTCACCGCTGCCGGTCGGTAATCACACATGTCCTGAGTATCAGCAAATGAACTGCTGATGATGATGCTTTAGGTGCGGCCTGCTTTTCTCACACAAAAAGGGTTAACAAGAAGGTTAGCAAACCTCAGCCACTGCCACACTCACAGCTACTAGATGATCAGAGAGTAGTCTGGCGGACGGGGTGTCAGCGAGGTTGAGGGCTAATGTGAGGTCATCACGCCGATGTTATTGTGTTTCATTTCGGAAAGCAGGATCTCATTGAAGTATGTGCCTCATGTTTGCGCAAAAGCTCCAAATGCATATTGCACATGATGTGCTCATATACCTGTGGATGCCGGGATATTTTGATAAGGACACCGATTATCTGTCTTGACTGTTTTTTGATTCACAGAAATTTCATCAGATTGCTGAAATGTGCAACTCAGATCACTGTCATCAGGCAGCTTGATCATTTCGTTCATAGGCTTCTAGAATTAATGTGACGAATAACTTTTTTGCCTAATGTTGTCAAAACAAAACTTAATAAATAGAATAAATAAATATATAGACTAGCTTACTTTTCAAAAGTTTGGGTTCTAAAAGTCATTAAAAAATAGTTTTGAAAATGAAACATTTTAAAAGAGAGCAATACATCACTGAACTGTATGAACAGCGTTCGGGGATCGACTTATCGAGACTATTTTCTAAGATGGCTTTTTGTCAGTAAAAAATACCCCAGCCAGAGGCGCAAAAATCCTAATTTTGCATCATCTGATGATTTTTTTGGCCAAAGGCTAAAGACTACAGTAAGTAGGGCCTGTCCCGCCCATAAAGGGTGGGATCTCTCTCACAGAATGTACACATAGTGTCAGCCATCTTTTTTTTTGGAAGCTAAGCTAGCAGACTCTTGTTCTGTGGAGAAAGCTGAGTCTAACTTACTAGGAGAAAGGTGAGTAGTAGGGGTTACCATCCTCTTTTTTCTGGACATGTCCAGGCGTTGAGATAAATTTGAAACAATATATCCTGGATTCAGCTTACTTTCTGCAGTCACCATTCATTGTTTACATACACACCTTTTGTTTTAATCTGAATTCATTCTGATTGGTGAATCTGAATGTAGTGTTTACATGAACGCTAAACAAGTGATCGGTTGATGTGCGCTTTAACATTGCTAAGAAAATTCTGTGAGAGATAGAGACCGTTGCGTCTCACAGGTGTCGCTCAATCACGCCACATTTTGTATGTATTTTCTGGCTATATTGGTTGCCACCCTGGATATCCAAAAAAGCAAAAAAAGAACATTTACATAGGCAGTCTGTTTTTGTCATTTAGTTTTCGATTTCATAGATCTCTATTATTTAAAAATAAAATTAAATATAATAATAAAAATAACACATTTTAAGATAGGCCTACAACATGTTCAAAAATATACATTAATTAAAAAATCAAATCGTGTAATTAGGATTCACTGGTAGTGTGAGGTTTATTTAACAAACTACACACATACGTAGCCTACATGATGCACCAACACACAATTAGAAAGATCACTCTTGGTGAAGAGCATGTAGCATTATGGAAGCCCACATTAACTGGCAGATATTGGTCTCTCCTGGTTTCTGGTAAGTTAAATGTTGCTATAGGCATTTTCAGCTATTAAACTCTCAGCAGTGTTGAGGTTAACCCATTTCTGGGCACACTGAACTAATGACGCCCAACTTGTTTGAGAAAATAAGGTTATTGGGCTTTTTGCCTTAGAAGCAGCATGTAAACAGCACTTCATATTGTCGCCAACCCGCTGTCAATCGCATCCCGCTTTGTTGTTATGAGGTCTATGTAAATAAATTAGGTGACAAAAGAGGTCTTTTGACAGTAAGTGCACAATGTGTAGACAAAAAGTATATAAAGCCTATTTTAATAGCAGGATTTCGTTTTCAAGAGAGCAGTGTTACGGTATCAACTATGTTGGTTGTCATGGAGATGGTGATTTGTTTACGTTTTCTGACTCTACGATTTAGTAGTCCTACAAATGTGCATGCTAATCATCCGATATCGATGGTGAGTCTGAAAAATACCAATTTGAAGCTGATTTGAAGACATTGGGAACGTTTATTTATAGCACTTTTATGCAATATATTGCTGTAAATGAGCCAGAGTAGATTTTCACCTCAAAGACGGGTTGGAGATGGAAACTTTTTTTCAAAAATTCTCTTTTTGTGATCCACAGAAGAAAGTAAATCATATTTAGGTGTGTAAATAATGATTTTGTTATTGGTAACTTATTTATTTGGTGCACTGTCCCTTTAAAACCAGTTGCCACATTTATCTGATTACATGTGGTAAGCACACATACATCTCAATAATTGCAGTTCTAAGACTGCAAAATGTTGTTTTCAATACATTGAGCAGATGTAAGGAAATTGTGTGGGTCAGCTCTCAGTGGGCCTGGCCTTACTAAGGCCTGGCCTGTTTGTGCAGGCCCAGTCGTTATCTTTTCCCCCCTTTCTGCATTATTCACCATAAGGTGACCAAAGGGATGCTCGCTCCCTCTCGCTCTCTCCATTTGAAATTATTTTTGCCTTGCATCGAAGCACATTCAGCTTGACACAAAGACAAAGGACCTTGCACACATGTGCATTTCCAGAGTCCCTGGCAATATTAAACATTAATGCTAGCATAATTTCTGTGGTGCCCAAGGAGCTGAGGAGTGCAGGCCCGCAGTCATCAGTGAGTTATGTGTTTTTCCCAATGGTGAAAAGATTGTCAAAATCAATTGTGCGCGGGGCAGTGAGACAATTCAGTGTTTAAAGCCGTGTTTAAGAGCTTAGCAGTATGCCAGAGAAGGGTTAATTGTAACACAC